AAATAATTAAAAACTTTACAGCTCATTACAAAGTATCTTTGGATTTCAGCTCATTTAAAGTACACCGACAATACCACAGCGTAAATAGCCACTCTTTATATACAGACCCACCACATTTACAGACATCAACAGAAAGAGGAGCTGGAAAAGGCTCTCCCAAGACTCAGCGGGTGAAAAAGTGAAACATTGGCTGCAATGAGCACAGGGGTGCACGGGGAGGGACGGCACCAAAGACAAGGACGTCTTCAGCACGCCCTGAAGCAGGGCGGGAAGATGCCGCTTCACGCCCCGCTGGTTATTGCTCGGAGCTCGGCTCGTCCATCAGCTCCAAAATCAGTTTGGCAGGGGAAAGCGAGGGGGGCGAGCAGCTGCCTTCTCCTGCCCAACAAAAGCACTGCTCCTGTTGAGTGGGTAGGGCCGGTGACAGGGAAAGACAAGGACGTCTTCAGCACGCCCTGAAGCAGGGCGGGAAGATGCCGCTTCACGCCCCGCTGGTTATTGCTCGGAGCTCGGCTCGTCCATCAGCTCCAAAATCAGTTTGGCAGGGGAAAGCGAGGGGGGCGAGCAGCTGCCTTCTCCTGCCCAACAAAAGCACTGCTCCTGTTGAGTGGGTAGGGCCGGTGACAGGGAAAATGCCTTTTAACACATCCCTCCAGCTCTGCACCCGGCGCTCCTCCCTCTCGCCGGGTTTGAGGAGCCACAAGCCACGTCCTTGCTCTCTCCACCACAGCATTGGGATGGCAGAGCCGGGACAAGGCTGTGCCAGAAGGCTCCTCCACTGGCTGATCCCAGCCGGGGACTCACAGCAGAGAGCGGCAGGCGAGGCCTTTCTTGGGGGTGAAAAATGTGACGGTGGTTTAGGAGGAGAGAGGGGAGCGCAGAAGCCAAAGTGAAGATGGATAAAGATCTAGGAGCAAGACAGTTATTTGTGACCCCAGCTCCAGCGTATTTTGTAGTGTGACCAATCTTTACTCACCGTGATCTGCCTTTCCTAAAAGCTGGGCAGCTTCGAGGCCACTATGACATCCGCTATGAAATCCACGAAAATAAGGCACTGCGAAAACGGAACTTCTTGTGCAAAGAACTGGCAGTACCTGCCTGAGGACAACACAAGCACGGACACAGAAAAGACTCTTCACCAGCTCCACGACAGCACAAACAGGTCCGTACAACAGCCAAGCACGTTTCGCACCGGTTTTCATGACTGATCAAGTCGGAACGAGGTGGGTTTCCTGGCTCGTAGGAGAGCACAGAGGTGTTGAACATTCCCCCTCACAGGCAGCAGCGGGGAGATTCCATCTCAACCACTGACAAAACTCTCTTCTTAAGGACTCGGGCAGTATCACCACGTAGAACTCACTTCTATTAGTTTTCCTCAACTAAACTACATCATTAAACAGGAAAGAGCGGAGGCCCTGGAACTGAAAAGGTATTATTTTGGATGTAGAGATCAGAACACTGTGAGACCGCTGAACATATCACAGGAAAAAGTCTTGGCTTGCTTTGAGAAAATTCGAAAGAAGTCCCTCCAAAAAGTACCTGACTCGGAACAAACAACACCACGCTTCAAAACCCGCACCCGTGCAGAGGAAGGGACCTGCAGAGCTGCAGACACTGGTTCGGACCGTTACGTTTCCTACTCACCGCCACAATTTTCTATGCCCAGAATCCGCGCCCCATCCACAGTTCAGGAATACAGAAAGGAAGCTTGCACCACCCAGCAGACACTGGAGACGAGACACTCGCTACAAATCACAGTTCCTGCATTAAATATTCTTCTTCCTTGTATAAAGTGCATGAAAATCTTGGGAAATATGCATAGCTATTAACACACCAGCCTCAGGCACTGGGCGGTTCCAGTTGAGAGCACCTCCTCCTTTATGCTGAGTGTCGAGTATTTCTAACGTATCGACAAAAAAAAAATAAAAATATTACCTTCATTATGATTTTAAACTGTTTTCTGGTTAGCTGGCGCAAAGTAACAGATGGCTTTGAGTAGAGGGATGTGCACTTACTGCACTAAAATCTTGAAAAATATCTTTAGAAGAAACCTCACGTGCCCAGGCAAGCTGGGATGGGCAGGAGGGAGTCAGAGAAGTCCTCTAAGAATGTCCTCGCGGCCAAATTTGGCTTTCTGGAGCTTGCGCCGCATCGGGGTGGTTCAGTTAGAGAGGCTTCATTTTGGGGGCAGGTGTCAGGATGGGATTTGAGGGGAAGTTTAGTATCAAAAGTCAAAGGAGACAGTAAAAACCGAGAGAGCTACGAGTAAAGTCCTCCCTCCACCAAAGTTAATCATCCGTTTCAAAACATACCAGCCACATGTAGGCCGTTTGCTTCCAGGACAATTTATCCTAAAGAAGGCAGCGAGCATGTTCTGTTCAAACCGCGTTTCATGCCCCTCTGGATAGGCAGAGCGCGGTTTTGTAACACAACCGAGTGTGGGTGGAAGAGGAAACCCACCCCGTATCGGTCGGTCGCAGCCTCCAACCACACACTCCAGATGTGCAAACACTGAAACACGTCCTTACGTGGTCAGAGCCGCAGCACAAACACAGCCTGAGGAATTTCCAGTGGGCAGCACAAACAGTGAACTACTAACCCAGCTGCCTTCTGCGTGACCCTTTCACTCCTGCCGCCTCGACACCTTTACATCGGTCCCGGAGAACTCCAGTCTTCAGAGATAGCGGTGCAAGGAAAGAGGCTTCGAAAGGACTTGGCCAGGTTCTGCCCTTCCGATCTCCCCCAAAGGGGCCACCTAGCAAACGTCAAGACATCTGAAAGAGATCCCTAAATCCAGCCAATGAAACGCTGAGACTAAAAAACCAGCTATGGGTTAGGGGCTGTTTCACATTAGCGACCTTTCTGCAGCACATCAGAACAAAGTGCAATTAGAAAAACGATAAAGATGGATTTTAGAAAACTTACAAGGCAGGTCAAGAGGCATCATATGAATTATCGGGCGGTCTTTAACCAGCAAGACTCGTCATACCCCAAAACGGAACGTCGTTTTGTTGGCATGAGTCGTGTCTATAAAAACAATTTAAAAAACGAGGATTTTATCGTCTGAATTCTTTACTACTAAGTTTCTCCCATCATCTCGGCTTGAACAGACAGGAGCTTCAGGCAAAGGAAAAGGAGGAAAAACTGTACACTAAAAATATCTTTAAAAGCTGGTCTGTACATTTTATATTAAAACTCCTTTATGAAAATTTAGGAAACACAAACTCATTACACAAAGCTAAAAAGCTATACGAGTCCCTGGCAGTACTATGCATGCTGCACTGTAACTCATTTCTGCTACAGATTAGTTTCTATTTTAATTTTATTCCTTCTGCATAAATGATATTAATTACAGTAAATCAGCATAATTATCTCCTTCGCTAAGCATCCCTATCTCCTTTGATGACAATGTATCTTTCCCTTGGACCTCTGAACCAGATGGCTAAGGCACTTAGATACCCACGTGCAGCACGGGTAGTGACTACACACACATTAAAGTTTAATTATTAATTTAGCATCCTAAATATTCCCCACGTAGATAAAACGTCTACTGCTCAAGCTGTCCAATCCCCTCATGATGACTAAACAAGATATAAACAGCTCAGAATAGAAAAGTCTGTGGCCTTTCTGGATTTCTTAGAAAACGAGTGCGTGTACGTCGATACGTGCACATGTATATACAGACATGTACAGTGCGTGCGCCACAGGCAGTTAAAAACCAGCGAGGGTTACCAAAAACAAAACCAAAGTTTTAGAAAAGTCAGCCCAAACCTCCCACTTGCAAGAGAGAGATTAGTTTTGGGGACGTCTCTTCGGCTGTTCAACCGGGTTTGCTCTCGTGCGCCGCTGGGGTGGTTTCGCTGGCGACGGAGGCACCTCCTCTTTGGATGGACGCTTGGTGTGGTGCTAGTAGAGCTCCTCTGTGCAGCGTCAGGCGGTGGATGATTGTAAAGCGCAAACTTTTCATATTTTAAAATAATAAATAAAAATAAATAGACTGGGTTAATCCCGTTACAAGGACAGCGACTCTCTGCTTTGCATAACTGGTAAAAATCCAAGTGTCTCCAAAGGTTGGGTGGGAACATCGAAGCACTTTAGTGCTGGTATCTTTGCAAAAATCCTCTTGACCCAAAGGACAGAACCAACGAGAAGAAGGTCCTGCCACTTTGGGGCAAGTGAGAGAGGGGATCCCGTCATGGTGAGAGCCCACCTTAAACAGATTAGACACCAAATTCGCTAAACTCCCCTTTCCTAAATAGACAGGATCAAAAATTACAGAGCTGGTCACGGGCCTTCTCCCATTCCCAACAAATCAGCTAGAAAGATTGCGCTGATTTCCACAGGAGGAGAGAGGGACAACAGGAGAATAATCAAAATGGGCACTGGTCCCAGGTCACATAACCAGAGAGCTGTTGCTTTTTTTAAATAAAGGGGGGTTGGGTGCTCTATTTCAAAATAAAGCTTTGCGTTCGCTTCTCTGCCTGTCTGGAATCATTCTAACCGTGCCCTTCCACCACGTATTCTGCGAAGTGGACACAGCTCTTACGAAATCAGAAAAGAACTGTTATTTAGGGGAGGTTTTTTTTGTTTTTAGAATTCTCAAGTCACACCGAGAGAAGCACCGGTGCGTGGGTAGTATTTTGTAGCTATTGGAAAGCCATGCCATAATTCGAACAATTTAGGCATCTCTTCCTTCTCTGAAAGCGGGAAGAGAGCAGAGCTTACACCCACCCACCGCCACGAGCTTTCACCGGCTGCCTACCCTGAAGCGTCACAATTTGTAGCAGGAAACGAAGGACACGTAGATCCAGCACCATGACAAGGCGAAGAATTAACATGTCAATCACCCAAAGCAGAGAAAAAAAAAACCCTTCATTAGTGTTTGCCACAAACTAGAAGTTCTCGTGGTTGGTTTAGCTTCCCGAAGGCAGAAGACTTGCTCCCCTGGCCGCGTTGCACGGTGTCTGCTGCGGTGCGTAGGGCAAACTGCTGCGGCTGTCTCAGTTTGCCCAGGATTTCCTGTTCTCCGCGTTCTTCTGGCTCTTCTCCAGTCGCAGCACGGATCCTCCCTCTGATTTCGCCAGGGCTGTGAGCGAAGCCAGGTTGGAGGCTGACCCGGAGAAGGTGTTCTCAGCGATGGCTCCTCCTTGCAACCTCAACCCAGTGCTCCGCCGTCTTGCTGGTCCCGTGGCCTTTTTAACTCTGCCTGGTTTCACGAGCAATCCATAGCCTGGGTTGCATCTGAAATACTGCTTCCCTCCAATCGAGCCATCGTTCTTACCTTTGACAAGAAGAGAAAGAAAGATGACAGACAAAATGGCTGTTATTGTGTGCACACGGTGCGCTACCAGGGGGACACTGGCAGAAGAAAGCAAGAAGAAAATGCTGAGATGGAAAATGGCTGTTCCCTATAAATACACTGTGAAGGTAAACACTCAGGAGGAGAGAGCACTATGGGCACTAGAGGACAAAGCTGGTACGAGAGCAAACAAATCTGAAGATCGATACGCTTATTGATATAAAGAGAAGTCTTCCAACTACCAGAGGAGCAGAGAAGTGGGAGTAGCCTTCCCACAGGAGCGAAGATAAAAAAAACATCAGCTGGTTTTATATCTGAACTTTAGATAAACTCTAAGACTAGAGGAAGCAGCTGCCGGTGACAGCAGAAGGCTGGACTTGATTCAGGTGGCTCCTGGCTGCAGGACTGCTCCAGTGACACCACTGTTTCACTGCCAAACACCAGCAAAGACATTGCATGGAGACAGATAACTCTGAACGGGACACTCCAGCTTATTCTTTCTTTCTCTCTACTTGCTGTTCAAGGGAATTCTTTAATTTCACCAAAAGTGCCAAATAACCAGTTCAGCAATAGATTTATTAGCAAGCTATCAGGAAGGAAGGATAAAAGACATTTAAAAGAGCTTTCGGTTTTCTGAGTTGATGAGAGTCTGAAGTTAAGAAGAGTTACTGTTTCCATGTCGGAAAACCTCCACAGAACAAAAAGAATACTTTCTTTACGCTGATGCTGTTGAGGTCTTTCTATTTCTCCCTTTAGACCATTTAAAATTCTCACGATCACTGTCCTGGGTACCGGGACAGAGACTGCTCCCATCTGTAAAGGGAACGTGAAAAGACACGACAACTCTTTAGATGATATTAGGTCACCCCTTTTGTTCTACATGTGCTTCTTTCTCTCTGTCACCTTTACTGCATTGGGTCTGATACACCCCATGTGGCCAAGGACTTGGACTTCTACCCCTGTTTGTAGAGTGACCAAAATACAAGTTTGTGACCGTATTTCCCAAGTGAAGCTCGAGATGTGCTAGAAGCCAGTAATGCTCCAGCAAATAAATGACTTAATCCTTGTCAAAACAAATTGGAAAAAAAATATCCAGTAACATCAGCAGTTGAGTCCTCAACAGACCAAAAAGTCTCGTAGCCGTTCAACTCTTCCACAGACAGTGAAGCTGATGCTTACCAGGTAAGTGCAAACAGCTTAACTGTGGACTAGAGTAGCCAGACAGGGAGGGAAGGTGACTTTCCATTGAAATGAAACTGAAAAATTTTTTTTTTTTTTTTTTTTTTAAATAAGGCATGAATTCAAGACCGAGAATTGGGTCTACAACTTTCAAAGGGATTAGAGCTACAGTTTGCTTTCCAGCATGGCAAACTCCAGAGAGTTTTCTGAAACCAGCTGAAAACACACAATCCAGTTTAGCTTTTATGAGCACACCATGCACAGGGAAGATAACTGTTCCCTTAATGGGAGTTCTGGATCCTTGACACAGTATTTATCTTGGTGAACGGCTCCAATCCCAGGGAAGCATGCAGAAGAGACGCACTGATTCACCAAACAGAGCCTGCACTGCAGACTTGGTATGCTACAGCTTGGTTAAAAGGATTTAAATAAGGAGCTTTACGTGCCCTTGGTAAGCCAAACCCTCTTACTATCAAAGGCAGCGGTATCTACTGCTTGTCTCTTGGAATATTCCACTAGCATGCCCTGCCTTCCCACAATCCTGAAAACGAGTCCCATGAAAGTGGACATGAACCTGCAGAGGAAAGGAGTTCTGCAGCCTGAGGCTCCAGCAGAGAGCAAACGCCAGCTGTCATCTTCCTTTCCTCTTGCACTGAAGTCACTGTTTCTCCATATCATGCTACAACGGCACATACGAACAGTCTCCCCAGAAACAGCACCCTAGTTTCCAAGAAGTACGGACTAGAGCCTAAATTCTGGGAAACCTGGAGTTGTACAGGTAAAAGTCAGACAGGAATGATAAATGAGAAGCTGAAAGAAACCTTAAATCATTCCATAATTCTATGATCTGTATTTCCCGGTGGTCAATGTATGATCATTTTCTACTTCTTTCCATATAGATGGGTATACATACACACATAAATATTTTTTTTTATAATTTTACAGCTTATTTTGAAATAGCTTGTGAGAGACTAGGTAACCTGTTAGGAGACTTTGCACCTCATGTAGCCTAAACGTGCCTTTACTCATTCGAATCCCACAACTCCTGTTGCACTTTGGACACGCTTATCCTCAGAGCAGAAGTCCAGAAGAGAACTCTTCAGACACAAGGTGTATCTCCTGCATCTATACAGCTACCGAGCTGCTTTGTGAAAGCAATCCTGATTCCTACCTCTGTTGTAAGAATCCAACGAAATAACTGAGAAGCGATACAATTCAGTCAGAGGTCAGTGAGACCGGGTTTACAAAGGCAGACTGGAAAAAGATTACAGGACGGAAAGATGAAACCCCCTTCATCAAAAAGCAGCGTTAAACCAAACACTACAAACTCTGACATCCTGTCGGCTTTACACCCAGTTTAGAGTATCTTTTACCTGAAGGTAAATCCAGTTCGACACCGACCCATGTTCCCTCTTGAAAGTCTGTGGGCCCAATATATCTAACGGTGCCCGTCTTATTTGTGCCAACCGTGACGTATTCTCCCTCTTTCAGCCACTCGGGAATTTCATTGGCATCTTCGGAGTCAGAAGCCACCTCCAGTTTTTCTTCTGCCGTCTCTGATCCATTATGGTTCAGTCCACGGGCAGCAGATGCGCTCTTTTCTCCGTCTTGCAGCTCTTCTGCGTTCAGCGAACACATGGGATCTGCTCCCAGCATGCTTGTGAAGGACTTCAGCTCTGATGTCTTTACTTTCTGGATTTTGAAGGGGGAGGCTGCAACGCCAGGCTGAGACGATTGGTCAGGATGAAACTGTGGTTTGGGAAACCCCAGTTCTGAAGTCCCGGAAGCCATTTCTCTTTTCCTAGCTTGTCCTGCTGACTCTGCTGATTGACTGGATAACAACTCCTTCTTTGGAGAAGAGGTAGAAAGATAGGTTTTTGCATCAGTGGCTACAGAGGCATCGTTTGTCTGCTCACTGTGAGTCACAAGAGATGTGCAAGATTTTGATTTCAAAGCATCGTTTCCATTCACTTCAGTGCTGTCTTTTGGTCTTGCGTGAGCACTCTGAAGGCTGAAGCTGGGCAGACTCTCTCTCTTTGTACTGACACAGCTTTCTGAAGAACTGTCCGAGTGCCCTGGCACGTCAGAAGGAGACACCTGAGCAACACTGGGAGCTGGGAAGTCACTCCCTGCAGGCATCTGACCTCCTGGTTGAGCCACAGCATCGCTTCCTGCTGCAAGGGCTTCAGAGAGGGTGGCTGTTGAGACGCTATGAGAAAAGTAGCCACTGGACGCTTCACTCAGAGGACTTGGAGGTCCTTCCTGGGAGTCCTGTGCCTGGGTGTCTCCTGTGGGCTGCTGCAAAGGCACTTTGGGTGTCTTTTCCGGACTCTTGTCTGTCTCAGGTGTCTGCACTGCAGTTTCAAATGGCTGTTTCCCTACTTCCTCTTGGTTCATCTGAAATAGAAGAGGACAGTGACTGTGGAGCTCTGTTACCCAAAATATCTGGGCTAAAAGGACAGATACAAGGCCTCTGGGAAGTACTAAGGCCTCCATCTTATCTAAATCCCTGCGTAGCTGCAATCTCCAAAAGATGCAAGCTGATTCGAAGTCAGCTTCGCAAACCTGGTAGGATTGTCAGCTCATTTCTTCCATTAATAAGAAAAGTGTCGACTAAAAGAAATACGTTCCCCAATATTTACTGAAAAATTATTTATATTACAGGAATGGTCATTTGCTGTTTGAATAGCAGGATTTATATGAAATGTGAAACAGCCATGATCTATAAGTCTCTCACAGTTATTTGGCTTAACTCTCAGGATTGATAAATCATGGCTCTCCAACTAAACTGTCATTTATGTCCCCGTTTCCAAATGCCATTCCCACCTCAATGTCGCCAGCACCACACGCTTTCAGAGTATGAAATTAACTGCACCTCATGAGATTAACAGCCCATTTTAGTGATGTATTTCTTGGCTGTAAAGTTTACTAAATCTGATAGATCAATATCTTTTGCCAGCACATGTACTCTAAAAGATTAGGACGTCTCTAAATCTCTTTGGGAGGAAGGGAGAGAGGAGGCTGCTAATATGAAGGGGAAAAAAAGTGGTTGGATGACGGAAGATCTGTACATATTCTGTCTTAACTCTCAGGTGTATGTTCTTGTTTACTGTTCAAAATTTTGTGCTTTATCCCATCTAGTGGTTCAGTGTCCCAAACTACATTTTCACATTATTCTGAAGGAACTCTGAAGGAAATTCTTATGGAAACATAAGCAGCATTTGAAGAAAGAGGGATTTCATTGAATTATAGGAATTTCAGAACCAAAGCCTAGCTTGCTATTGCTAAGTGAAATGTAATTCAGAAAAGTTTTTGGAAATGTTGCTGTGGATTAATGACATATTTTTAGCTTTTCTATGGAGAGGGTGGTGTACACATGGACTCTGGAGCTCTGCTCTTTCTTTGGGCTTTCCCTTTTAAGCGTTCAGATAACACACATTTTGCTAAGACAATAAAAGCACAGTGGGAGAAAGCTGATTTGCTATTCGTAAGACTGAAGTTCTGCTGAACTGTGGGAGATCAGAGGGTCTATTTTCTCTCCAGCTTAGCAAGTCTTTTTTTCACGCCGATATCATGAATTGGCTTGAAATGTAAAACTGAGAATTAAGCTCAACACTCAGAATAACAGACATGTTCTGTTTATAGAAAGCACCAGAGCTTAGCAATTTGTCTTTTAAAGCAGCAAACCAGCTACATTTTAGCTAGTTAACTGCTAATGCAATCATGTGATTAACCAGGCTCTCAAATATAAAAGTGCAACCAGTGATACAAGGGGAGATTTTACCAGGACCTAAGAAAACACAGCAACACCCAGTGCATTTAATTGTCTCACACTGAAGCAACAGTAGAAGTGTAACAGGTTTTAAGGATCTATTCCAGCAGTTACTTTTGCCACCTCTGGTTTCCAGGCACGCAGATATGAAAAACGTATCGTCACATTCTGGGACGTGCTTACCTGTTTTATCTTTGCAGCGCTGGCTTCAATACTGGCAGACTGAACCATAATTCGTGGGACAGCCTGCAGGAATGAAAAAAAACAGAGCATCATTCACGTAAAGGATTAAATACTGTCAAATTGGTAAACGTTAAAATTTATATTTGAATTTTTGATATCGCAAACAAACCTTCAGCACGAAAAGACAGAACATTGTTATTTTATTGCATTCTGACAACATACTCTGAAAGGGTAAAAAACTTAAGCAAGGCATCCTTGAATTGTATCATATAAGCAGCTACGAGTACAAATTCACAGTGAACAAAGTTTTCTTTTATGCAGATGGTCAAAGACAGACTACTGAGCAACCGGACGACAAAGAGGTGTGTGAGGTCGCGCTGGTCAGGCTAGTGAAATCCTCAGCTTCAGATTCTCCTCTCTATCTCCAGTATCTTACTTCAGGTTAGATGTTAGCGTTGTTCATTTTAACTCAAAGAGGAAGTCAGAAACAAGATCGGTGCATCCTCTTTTCAAGGAGGGCATCACCACCGTCTGCTAGAGGGAAGCCTACGCACGCCATTTGCTAATCACAGTATACTGGTCCTGTGCCAGAAGAACAGCTTCTCCGTTTCAACAGTATTTTCTCTTTTATAGTATGGGGCCCGATATGAAGGCATTGACAATAAATGTCCCTCATGTGCTCTGTATGCAGGTTTTTATGTTTAAGATTTGCAATAATCACTCTCGTAAGACTCTAACAGCAAATTGTGACACTTGACAATATATCTTAGGCTAAGCTGTCAACTTGAGCTGTCATGTACTGTTGACACAGAAGGGAAAAGGACCACCAGTTCAATGGAGAACCTTGGGAAATGGAAGTATGAAGAAGAGGAGAGGGCAGAGAGAGATGTTTCTGCCTTTTTCTAGCACTGTTAAATACCACACTGCAAGTGCAGGTTCATGCTTTCAGGGAAACAGCTCTTTAAGGGTGACACATAGAATCTGGGAGCAGTCTGCTTTTTTTCTTTTTTTGTCCAAGGGACTTGAGAACTCCTTCTGTAGAAATACGCAGGCAGAGCTCATCTGAGACAGCTATTTCCAGAATTCGACAATCTGTTTAAAGAACTGAAACTTTCCAGCTGAAGAGTAAGGTACTCTTCTCTGGCATCCCTTCTAAGTACAGTAAAGCAGGAATATGACTAATCTTGCCCCAAAAATAAACATGGAGGAGAAGAGCAGCTATTATTTATACAGAGATTGACAGACATTAAATAAGAACATGGTTGTTCAAGGTAAAAAATAAAAACTACAAAAGACAGACAAAAACCCCAACAGCTTCACAATGGATCAAAATAACTTTTTGTAAATACATTAAAGCTCCAGTTCCATAAAAGAAAGCAGAAAAGAGCGAGTTTGCTTGTCTTTAAGCCTACTAATTGAAGTGGGGTTCAGAGCAAGCCGGTTCTATTTCAGGTGCACAAGGTATTAGCATTTTGATTCCTTACTACGACATGTGTTCCAGGAAGCAGAGGGTGACCCGAATCAGAACAAATCAACGAAGTCTAAAAATAAACACAGCTTTAGGGTCATGATCCAGTGGTTTTCCGACACCTTATACTCCAGAACTTCAGCTTCCTTTGGAATAAAGTGGCAATCTTCTAAGACAAAAGCATTAACCTGAAAGTAACCGTAGAACTGACTTGAGACCGAGTCGAGGGATAGCTTAGAGCAACGAGGTGCGTGAGCACCCTGACTCATCCCAAGTATTAACTCAGACGTGCAAGGGTAATTTGACTGTCATAACAGCCGAGTGTTCCACTTTAACAAACTAGAGAGGAGAGGGATTAACTTTCTTATGAGAAAACTCTTCAAGTTTTAGGTTTAATAGAAGCTTATCACGGTGTTAAAGGGAGCAGAGTATTTGGCAGAACACTTACTCTCTCCTCTTCAACCATCTCTGAGTCATGAGTTGGTCCATCTTGGGAGTGCAAAGCCAAGCTATTAAGTATCACCTTTTAATGAAAAAAATAGCTGTAGCCACAAGGCATCAGGGCTAATCCCTAGGCAGGCACTTACACAGCACTTTAAACCTTTTGCAGAGGTGCAGCTGAACCTGAGTGAGAAGTCAAGGCTCTTGAATTCAAACCATCCTAGTTAAGTATCTCCATGGTCCAATGCTAAAAGCACTGAACTCAGGAAGGTTGCGCAAAGGAAAAACACTGTTTGTGATCCGATACAGCAAGGAAACAGCCTTTTTCAGCAGACTTTTATCAGGAGCTAAAGACAGCTCCAGGCTCTCACACTGGCACCATAACACAACTTGATCTTTTTGCCCCATTTTCTCCTTTCATATATGTCATCTCTGCGAAGTGCTCTTAGGTCTAACAGTATTATCCAGAGATACGGACTCAGAATTGGAATAAGAAAAATTATTTAAAGATATTTCTCAGTTCCTTTGATTTCTTTTTCTCCATTTAAAACAAACAGAGGAAAGTGTTTATTTAGGGGTTTTATCTCTTACAGCCTGCAAATCCACGAAATCTAAAAATCCAGTTGATATCAAATAGCAAAAGAAAGAAAACCGTTGCACTTTAATCATTCCTCATCAAGTTCTCCTCCTGAAAGGATGACAAATCTCAAAACTACAATAACTTTGCCAAGCAATGTTTAGAAAAACACAGAGAAAAAAGCAATTAGAGAAGTGGCACTTGCCCAACTTCGGTGTTGACAAGAAACAGATGGGCAGAAACACCCTCACTGGGGTAGCAAGGGTACTAAAACAGATCTTTGTTATGAAATACAGTCAATTTACTTGGGGAGATACTGAAAATAACGTGGTTTTGACTATCTGTGAAGACATTTACTGGATGAAAAATATTTCTGAATTGAGAGCCAACTTCTGTCATCAAACGTTTGTAGATAGCGACTGCTAAACTAGGCGTGTATATTTATCCAATGGCAAAACATGACCCTTTTCCAGTGATAATTTTTGGCACAATTTCTTCAATCAAGCTGACAAAATACGGAGTAAGAGAGAACATGAAACCAATTTACTTTAAAGCATCCTTGAATCTTTGTAGAACAAAAATTGTCTTTTTCGTAAAAGCTTCTACTCTGTGCAGTGAGTTTATAAGGATTTCTAAGAGGGCACATTTTCTGGTCAGATGAGAGGTCAGTTTGCACATACTTTGAGGTGACCAAAAGCCATGCAGTTATTAGTGATTAGCATAATCTGGAGACCAACCTGATATGTTGGTGCACTTGAACAGGAAAAGCAAATGTGTATCTCGCCCCACTTACAGAGGCATAAAAATTAATCCTAAATGAACTCTTTTTTCATACCATATATTACATATATATATATAATGGTAACATCTTCAATGAGCCCAGAAACACATTTGGTATTTCTATGCCATTAAACATTTGTAAAATGCCTCTGACAATGGCGACTGACGACTTCAGTGAAAAGCTTTTTGACTTCATGTCACCGGAGGAGAATCTTTCAATGTTAACACCCAACATGCAGAAAGTTCAGTTGCAGTTAAGAGGACAGACTGGGCCAGCGCATACAAGAATTACCCTCCAGGCTCCACAAACAGTCTAGCCAAGGCTATAGCTAATGCAATCCTGAGAGGGCGTTAGCAGAAAACTTCCACTGCTGGTGTCTACGCTTTACCATCCAGAGATAGGAGTGACTGGGATCAAGAACTGCCACACTGACAGTATTGTGTTCACACCACCATTTAAAAGCAGCTGTTGGAAACTTCTGTAGCAGGGCATAACAGTTATTCATTAAATGTAGATTTAAATCAGTTTTGAGCTCTTGGGATAAAATACTTTCACAAGACATACACTGCAATGCAGGAAGAATTCTGAATCCTCTAGTACACAGCGAAAAAAGTTGAATTAATTTTAAAAAGGTCTCCCATTTTAAAAAGGTCCCACCCAACAATATTCCTCTCTGTCCTCCATTTTAAAATCATTCTGAAGTCATTAATCATTCAAATATAAAATCTCCTGCATTCCAAAAGGAGATCTGAAACCCAGTACGAGTTTGTTTGTTGTTCTTTTGGTGTTTGTTTGTCTCCTCCTCTAAAGACACTGTGCATTTAAATATTAACCCAAACGAAACCCTCTTATTCCACCTTCCATATGTGGAACATTTTGGCCTGCAATAACACTTTTGAATTCCACATTTCTGATATACTCTATGCAAAATTAACCATATTGTTTTCTACGCTGTTAAATTACTTCATTTCTAGGTCTGGGCAGATTAAAAGGGAGATTCATAACCATTTTCAAGTTCATTTATAAAGAAGTTTCAGTGGTTTGCTCTAAGAACTTTAAAAGCCAGTTTTCCATACGCATTCTCATTAAAAACTATTTGTAAGAGGATGACAGGGAAAACTAAATTCAGAAAGAAATCAAAACACTAACAACTCAGTCACAAGAACTAGACACATCTGAGCTCAGCTGGCCGCAGAGGATCTGTTGAGCTATGCTGATTATAGCATCCAAATGATTCTTTATTTGAAACTCTGAAAAAAGCCTTCGAGATTTTAAAGAAGGCACTCCGAGGCCATATTATTTACATTTGATTAAGGAATGTCAGTTCTAGCAATTATACTATGCACCATGCACATCCATGAAACTGTTATTTTGTAATACACTGCCAGAAAAAGGTTTTTGTCTATTTAAATAGCTTTTTATTAACTGCATTTCATTATTTTTAAAGATTAGTTACTACGTCTGCATCAGAAAGTGAAAGAGAAAAGATTGAGAGCTGCCCCCTTCATGTGCCACATGTCTGCACTTCTATACCACAAACCAAAAATGAATTACATTAGCGTATGGAAATTCGAATAGTTTATTGTTTTTTTTAACATAGCTGTGACTCAAGATGTCTCATTTAAGCCATGTGCTAAAAAAAAAGACATTTGAGTATTCACCAAGGTTCTCGAGTATGAAGGTGACCAAAATCCACTCCAAATGCATATTGGTCAGAGGAAAGTGCTTCTGTCACAAAAATGTCAAAAACCAGAAACTGGAATTTAACATGTACATTTTTAATGCCAGCACCCAATGATGCCCTAAAATGTAATTATAGGGGCAGTTCCTGGAGATCAAAAGGGTCATAAGGTAAAGAACAGTAATTCTGCTTGGTCCACACTACAAAAGCCTCAGCATGTTAGTAAAACCCACAAGCTTCAAGAGCATGTACATAATATAATTAAGCACAGATAGACAAAACTCTGATTTTCTATTCACCTGCATATTTTGCACAAGTATTTTGAACTTCTCCCCATCAGCACTAAGGGCTGGTAAGGCTTTAAATCTTGCACACTGCGGTACTAAGCTTTTTAATGAATAAGCTACAAAACCAAAACGCAATTCCAGCAATCTAAAAAGGTTTAAATTGTTGCCTTTTTTTTTATTTACAGACTACTGGCAATTAATTTAAAGGCACCAGATAATGGAGAAAATAGGCATTTTCTAACTTAAAGTATATAAACAGCTTCATCAGAAACCAATCTTTTAGGTACATAAACAGCTTCATCGGAAGCCGTTCTGCTAGTTACATAAAGAATCCCATTATGCCAAATTAATTCAATCTAACTAATTAGAGAGCAGGAAGTTCTTTCAATTATTTTATGTGCTGTCTGAGAAACACACTTGAATACGAGAGCAGATTTCATTAATTGCGGTTCATTATTCTCCAGATTAGTTACTAAACTTGCATCAGAAGGTCAAAGACAGCAATTTTGTCAGCTGCCACCACCTTGACTGGAATGTCTCTGCATTTTTGAAACTCAGGCAACCACTGACTATAAATAAAAACAGCACCAGGAAAGACCATTCTGTTAAGAGAAGTTTTGGATGTGCTCACTTACTTTAAGGTTGATGCCAGCCTAAGCAACAGCATATGATTGAAATAAAAAGCTGCTAAAATAAAATAAAAAAAAAGGTATTTGCAGAGCAAGTGATCAGAACTCCATCTTCTGTTTACTTGCACAGAATCAGAGACGTGGTAATGCATCCAGTTGCAGAGCTGCTTGGTCACGACAAACTTAACTGCAGTTATAAACTTGGAAAAAGGTGAAGTACTGCTCCCTTGGAAATGATGCTCAAAAGCACTAAGACCAACTTAGTCATAAGACCCTGCTTAAAAGGCACAACAAAACAAATCTGATGCTTTCTGCAGAGACGTACAGCCATCTAACCCTGATAAATTAACTACAACGTATTGGAGATTTAATACAACAGCTGGGCCAGCCATCTAGTTCAAGATGGTTCACCAGCGTTTTTCCAGAACAGGTTTTAATGACATTAGATAATTAAGTACTCTCAAATAATGTAACAGATATGCACTAAAAAGGGAGCTTGACAAGAAACTTGCAAATTCTCTTCCACTGTAGCTGTCTGATGAACCAGGAGAAAGTAATAAACTGATTCGTGGAGCTTTTTGGTATTTATCTTCAAAAACCTGCTATTACATATCTGCTTGTTTGCTTTTAGCCAGGAAAGGATGATTTAGATCTTTCTATTTGCTTTGTAAAGCATTCCTTTAGTCGTTTCTATTCCTGAACCTAGCTCTCCCAATTTGTTGTTGACAGCAACAGAAGTCCATCAGTTCCTGGTTAGAGGTCAGACTCCTTTGCAATTAGAGCCAAAAAATCCTTTTGGCTTCGCCTCCACACCTTATACATCTTGTAGTTTACCACCTACTCTCACCTTGCACATTCATTTATGTTCCCTGCCACTGTGTATCGAGGTTTTATTCTTCCACAGAACTAAGATGCATTGTACTGTATTTTCTGAGACTCAGAAATATCATTTTTTGTGTCCTCTCCGTTGTGTAGTTTACTACAGTTATGTAAGAATTACCAGCTTGCTGTCTTGCTCTGGCAGGTTAGCGATAAGGTGTTGAAGCTGATTGCCAAACACTGACTCCCATAGCAGCCCCATCATCCACTGAGCACAACAGCCATTCATCACCGCCACCATTTAAATTCTTCTGGCCACATTTGCATCATCAGACCATTATAAAGAAACAGCAAGAAAGATTACGAGACATGATATTTATGATCTTAAACCCTGCCACACTACAACAGCATGTATTATTTTTTGTGCCACACAGAAGACGATGTAGCTAATTCTGTAGCAGTTCCTTCCATTTTTGCTCTCTCTTCTACGCACTGCGACTAACAGGAGTGAAGCAGCTCTGTTTCCTTGCTGCTATTGCTGTGAAGAACATCTATAAACCTCTCAAGCCAGTGAGGTGTATTTGTAATGCAAGCGACTTGTTCTATTACAAAACTAAAAGTAGCAAATAATTTTAAGATGTCATTGTGTTACACGGATCCAGTGGTCAAGGAAAAACTTTGGTTGCTCTCCAATGCAACCAAGCATTGAAACATCACACACTCCAGTTAATATATTACCTTTAACTTTTATAAAAACAAAGCAGAGATAGCATTTTCCCTCCCATTAAAAGTGGTAGCGATCATGATCTGATTATTATTATTACTTGAGTCTCCATAGTAATCCATAATATAAATTAAAATCTCTTTAAACAGATGCCTTTGTAGTTTAAAAACTGACTTCAAGACAAATAATACAAGGCTGATCTTGAACAGTAGGAAGGAGTGGGCACAGGTGGTTAGACTAGAGGCAGGAAATTAGACCTCGTTTGTAATCTCAGCTCTCATTGATTCAGTAAGAATTCAAGAAGTTGTGAAAGGCTCTCACTGCAATCGTAAAGAGCACCGATTTGCATCTTTCGATACCTGAATACCTTTAAGAAAGCCCCTGTCTTAATTTCAGTTCTTTACATGTCATGGATGAGTAAGGTTATACGATTCCAGTCTCAACACCAAGGTGGCTGTAAGCAAAGGGCAACATGAAAACGTAAAGCATTAAATTAGATAAGATTTAGGAGTAAAATTTGCTCCTTTTATTACTTTGTAGAGAATAAAGCCAATTGAAATATTTTGAATCTGCCTTATTTTTATCTGAGCTAGGTCTGTCATAAGTTACTTTAAAAAGATTTAAGTGTTTGCGTATTTACTTTTGGTTGGTTGATTTATTTATTATTCTACTGTACTTTCACAACGAAAAAACACCTTCCTGTAATTCTCAGACATTTTTATAGCAGCAAGTTTAGTTGTAGCAAACAACAGAACAGAATGTCTGGGTCTAATCACGAAAAACAGTTGCTTGGGGATTTTAGGATTCGTTTTGCTTTGTTTTGAGAAAGATATCCTTTAAAACACGCATCTGTAGGTGAAGAGGTATGCAAGAGTCTAAGCTAACAGGTAACGTGCTTTCAGAACTCCAGACAAGTGAACAAGAAGAGAGCAGAGTGAGCTGGATGGTTAACAAAGCACGAGCAGAACGCACTCCCACAAACGTTAACAAGTGAGATCTGGCTCCATATTTCTCTTCAGAACAGTTTTTAAAGTCTTCCAGACTTACACTATACAGGACTACTCCTTTATAAACAAACTACAGACTCTCAAATAAAGGAGAAAAATATTATTTATAATGGGATTCTGTATTCCAGCTGTTTTCTAGTCTATTTGACGATACATTAGCTACTGCGCAGAGCACAGAAGCCACATCTGGAGCAGGTGGAGTTTTGCAGCACAGCATCCAAAAAGACTCAAACGCTTCTCTGACATGTGGAATAGATCAGAGAATGAGCAAAAGCAACTGCTCAAAGTACATAGCAGAAGATGGTAAAAGGTGACATGAGCTGGAGAGAGGGGCGGGGGAGGGGGCGGATTGTGTATGAAATAACAAATTAAAAATAGAATTACATTTTCCACTTGGCAATACACAAACAACACTAAGTGCACTTCATAAATTTTACCATTGTTGCTGCAAGTGGTATTACCATAAATCACGCTGGTAGTGTACTTGGCACTTTTAAAAAGCCAAGTGGGCTGAGAGTATCAATAAGTTTAAACAGCTCCACTATCTCTGGACAGAATGGAGTGGAAATGTATCACAGGGCTCTGCTATGACTAAAAGCTTGGTTTGCACTGCAACAACACATGAAATAGCACTTTGCCAGCAAGTCTAACAGCACTCACCAATATTACTGCATAGCCTATTTGATTTAGTTTTTTACCTGCTGGGCAAGGGGAGAGGTCTGCCTGCCCTTCTTCTCGTCTCTAACAGGAAAGAGAGACTTGAGCAGCTTTGGCATCTGAGGCACAAAGGACTTCACAGGATTCAAATAGGAAGCAGCGAGGCTACCAATACCTGTTGGAAAAATGACAACAGTTACGTTTTGGGGAAAGGAAAAGAAAAACAAAATACCAACCCAAAACGTCCTAAAAAATATCACAGAATTGTTATCATTTTAGTCTAAGATGACATCTTCCAGAGGTAAAAGCATTAGCCAAGGAAAAGCATAGAGTGGTTGCTCCTCTCTTGAAAGGGACATACGAATTTGAGTAGATCTTAATCTGTGGCCCCGGTACACAGAACATTTTTTTCATCACATGGTGTGAAAAACCTTGTTGATTGCTATTGGAAACATAAAAAACTTGCAGAAGCAAAACCAAAACAACCCAAGAAGCAAAACTGAAAAAGGATGTCCATGCAGCACACAATTTTAGTGACAATTACAAAACTTACTAGAAATAAAAGATGAAAAGGTCCAAGTTAAGAAAAAGAAAAAATGTTAGAGGCATTCAACTCTCCTTACTCATATTGCCATTTTTTCTACATTATTTCCCCCTCGGGAAAACCTAGCCAGACATACAAAACATCACTACTATGTATTTCTGGGCTCTCAGTTACACATTAGGCACATCACCTGCAAAATAATTCATCCAATTCCAGTGCTGCTTATTTTCTAAAACATTAGCAGCCTTACTGTCTTTGCTGCTTTGCTCACATAACAAACAGCACTTTCTGAGCCCAGCTAACTTTTGGCTTTAGAAATTGAGCTCCTGAGATAAGACTGCATCTTTAAGACTGCATCAGACAACTTAAATCACATGGCATTTAGTAGAACTAGAACAGAGTTAAAGGAAAGGCTAGTTGGAATAGCCTAGAGTCTGAGTAGCTTTGTCACAACTCCTAAATATTCACATAGACGGAACTGCACAAACGTTGCTCTGGAGAACAAGCTTCTCTTAATCTCTGAAAGCAGCTCAGCTTTATTTGACATTCAGGAGCTGGGGTAACTTCACTCCATTTTTAGGAAAGTTGTTTCAGCTTTAGGAAAGCCCTTACCCGGATCAGGAGAGTGGTTTTGTTGCCTAGAGCCTGGCAGAGAAGTACGAGATGGACTAATGCCCCTACTGGAATTTGTGGCACCTTGGGATACATCTTGCTGACTCTCCCATCGGCCCTAAAGGAAAAAAAAAAAGTTGTATTTTTCAAAGTTAGTGCTCCAGCAAGAGTATAGCTGTACTTACATACCATGCCAGCCCACACAGCCCCTTTGCAAAGTTCAGAATGCACAGAGCTGAGGAAAGACCCTTCCCCAGAGGCACTTTTAGTTGAAAACACCCACCCTGCAAAGATAAGCACCCTCAGCTCCCACCAGCATCAAGGCACATAAAAAGTCTACTTAATAGACCTTAAAGCTGTAATATTTCACTCAATTGTGCAGTTGTGTTTTGGAAGTTGAGAACATTACAACCAGGTGAAAACAAAACAGTACTGCCTACCCAAAATTCCTAAATATTTTGTGTGTCTAGTCTGGAAGCAGTCATGAGTGAAGTCTGTCAGAGAGAGGGGGTGAGGACAGGCAGAGATGAACAAGAAAAGAAATAGGATCTTAGACCCAAAGGCTGGACGTTTAGTGCCTCTGGTCAGATAATGGATGAGCTGATCAGATCAAGAGGAAGCAACTGTGGTAGTGCAATTTTTTTTTAACAACCTGGAAAAGAGAGAGATGGAATACACAACATCTGACAGATATCAAGATTTAAATAAAGACAGGTTAGAGTTTTGACATAGTTAGTGAAGATGAAACATGATGAGTTTCAGACCTGCAAGAGCCTGAGTGTAGACAAGGTAGGAAGAAGCAGTGACCAAGAAGGCTGTAGGCTATCTGTCTTCCCAAGGTCCCAGGATTCTCTAGCTGTTTTTTCACACGGATCCCGAGGTACACACTGTTCTGCATGTGGGGTGTGATTTCTCTCGCTCTTACGAAGGTCCACTGTGGTTTTGCATCTTTCATCTCAACCTTACGAGTCAGAAACTGGTGCAATGACAAAGTCCCCAAGAGAATCTCCAAGCTAGTATTTCACAGCAGTGCATGAGTGTCAAGAATCTACGTGGTCAAATAGTTTTTTTCCTAATTCTATCATCTTGATACATAAAATATTTTACAGATTTGCCTGTAATGATTATACTAAGTGACAGGCCAGAGGGTGTCTCTGCTGAAAGTTTTATGTGGATTCAAGACAGTATATTGCTTCACCAAACTGAACACCATGTTAGGTGTGCAGTGCTGAAAAGAAGGCACTGAAATCCATGTGGTTGCTCTCCAAACCTCTGATACGGGCACACTCATAATGCCTGTCAAAGCAGTTTCTTTGCACTGATAAAGAGTAGGCTGTAACAAAGCTATATGGTGCGAATTTACCTAATTTGTAAGAGATCTTAAGGCAACTTGATATCCATTTAGAGAGTCTGGTCTCAAATGCTACAAGATGTCTCAATGGCTTGGGAAAAGGAGTTGTCCTGTTCAGGTGGCAGAGTGCCCTCAGGACTACAAGCTTGCAAAGTTCCACCTTTCCAGAAACAGAGGCTGCAAAGACCAAAGGATGGTGCAGCCAAATTGATATAAATTGAAGGCTGATCTTACTTCAGGTAAAGAGTTATGCTATGGTTGGTACAATATCTGTACTGGTTCAGGTTACATTGTATCTGTATCTGAATCTTGCTTGTCCTTTTAAAAGACATAACAGAAAGAAAAATACTTTCACACTGAGATGATACAGCAAACATACTAGAAAGGAGTCACAAGGGATGGACAGACCTGCTACATCTCAGACCGCAAGTTTTATGTATTTTTTTTCTGGAGGAAGAGGGGGAAAACGCACCTTTTCAAGAAGCTTCACACTGTTGGGTGTAAGGAAATAATCTGACCTTGAACAGAAGAACAACAGGCAGCTATACTAATCTTAACTGTAACTTGAAGTCATGAATGTTTCACCAATAATAAATAAGCCAGGATAGGAGGAATAGATTTCTCCAATGGGTTGAAGGTCACACTGAGCAGCCCAGAGCAAAAATCATTTCCATTTGGATCTATAAGTTAGTCCCCTAGAAGCTCTCCTGCTTTGAATAGCAAGTAACTTGCACTTCTGCAGAGCAGCTCCTGTCTTCAGATCTCTACTAGCTAACATCCGTAATACTAGACGTAGAGACAACAGGCACTGTTTCTGCAGGGTTAACATTCAGGGATGTCTGACTTGAGAGGCAGCGATCCTGAATGTCCAAACTGATGCAATCCAGGCCAGGACTAGCAGTAATACCAGGGGTTTGTTTAGTCTTGTAGTTTTGAGGACTTTGGTGTTTAAGCCCTTCTTGAAAGCTTCCTGCTCTATCAGTGTGCATGGCAGAGCTGTTCTACCCATACCTTAAGCCCTCAACTTAAGCATTATCTTTGACCTGCAACTCATTTATGTCTTACACACAGCAAAAAGTCATGCCTATGTCTGGAAAATTCTTTCCACAAAATGCTTCTATGAAATAGTCTTTCCTATTCCACTTCCCAGAAACTCTTATTTGGGCTTTTGCCACCCTGAGTTTCAGCTAGTGCAGGTTTCTTTCAGGGGCCCCACTGCATGCAGTCTTGCCCCACTTACATCCATTCAGAATACTGCTTCAGAGACTGCTTTATTATCCTGCCACTTTGATCACTTCACATGGTGCAGCAGATATTGAAAGTCAGCATGGAAAAAGTCAACGACTTCAGACCGTACTCAAACTGTCTTCCCCTTCGGGACATTAAATGTTTCCTGAAGTCTCCTCCTTCATTCCCACTGAGGGGTTAGTTTGTAGAAGTTTGTAATTTCTCAAAATGTGAGAAAAGAGTTCATACTCTATCCAGATAGGGAAAATATCTCAGTGTAATTCAGTATTTTTTGGATGCATCAGCTCAATGGTGTTGAAGGAGTTTTAAAAAAAAAGACGACTATCTCGTGGGAAGTCATCACAAAACTCAAACAATCTTGAAATACTGTTTGGTTTTGTTGCTGTCTGGTCTGCAACCAGCCTGGTGGATGTTGACATCAGGTTAAGAACAACTCTGGAAGAACGCAAAGCATCTGAAGGCTTTTTTGTTTTGAGGACATAATGAAGTTTGATTAGTGTTACTTTTGGACCATAGGATAATGATCCACTTAAAGACAAATGGACAAAGGTGACATGTCTTAATAATTTTCTATCTATAGGCCAAGTCTAAGTGCTTCTGGAGACCACAGAGACATCATAAACAGAAAGACTATTATGGGAAAGTTTTCTAGCTTACTAGAACACTGACTCAATGTAAGTAAGGTGCAACTGAATCATTTTCTGCATCATGATTCGTTGAGTCAGAAGTGCCCTTCATTGACCATTCCAACAAAAATAATTTTGGGCAAATATCTTGACTTTCTAGATCTGTTCGGAGAATGATTCAAAAATCAAAGTAGGTAAGAAATAGCAAAATGCGTTCAGAATATTCATCCTGTACAGACAGAATGGCAAGATTCAATGACTTCTTCCTTAAGCAAATATTTTTTCCTAGGATCTTTAGGAAATTTTGCTTTAGCCTTAATATTATGGATGACTGCATTTTCTACATAATTTAATTTAATGTTCTACATTTTGCCAAGTTAAAGAAAACGCAGGTCCTGAGAACAGGAATATGCACTTGAGAACAGCATTTGTCTGTCCATAAACTTAAAGCACGTTGGGTTTTTAAATAACACTTGCTTTGGAGGGAGTGGAAAGATCATCATTTTAGACTGAAGGTCAGATTTGCGAGCCTTAACTCTGAGATGATAGCAAACAATTAAAAAGTAGATAAATCAGGGCAACAGGTGGAGAAACATTTGCAAAAGAAAATACTAAAGGCAACTGAAAGGGTCAACTGTCGGGTGAAGAATCTGCAGAGGCAAAATGTAGTTCATGAATGACTGATTTTACTAAACTGGATTGAAAGATAACCCATGTCAATCTCACAAGAAGAAAAAAAAAAGAATTATTAACTATATTAACTTGATGAAGTTCCCAAGTTTCACATATGCATGCTATACAGCACTCCCACTTGACGGCCTTGTGCATTCACTAACTGAAACACTTAAACTTTAAGTTTAAGAAATTGGTATTATTTAAGTGCTGAAAATCTTTCCTCTATCAAGAAGGGCGGTGAGAGAAAGGAAGAAAGCTTGTAAATCATTTTCCCAGAGGAGCCATCATTTCATGAATATATTTGGTCTCTGCCAAGTGACCAAACAGAGGTCAAGTGACTTAATTTAACAAATCAAAAATAGCCACTGGAAGAACGCATGTCCCTTGATATATTTTGATACAGAGCTGTTTATAAAGTGTTTTCTTTCTGTAATACCTTCTCCTCCTTCTCCTCTGCCTTCCCTTCTTTCACACACCCTCCACAAAAAACATCAGGGCATTTACTTCAGGTCAGCACCGACACACACAAAATCTTATAGAGCAAATACAGGTCATCACTACCTAAGTCATCTGTAGGCTTTACCTGACAACAATTCTTTTCTTGAAGTTGACAGACCATTAAAATGCTGCCACTGGGTAAGAGAAACGAATAGTTCTTGCGTTTTATTATTTTAGCAGTTCAGAGAAGGCTTAGGAAAAGGTGGCCATGTAGCACTTACATATAAGCATTCAGCTGGGACAAAAGGCACTTGTTCTCATGAACAGCGAGATTATTCAAATTGATCTGCATGGTAACAAATTGATGAAAAAACTCTGGTTCCCAGTAAAATCCGAAGGTTAAGTGGCACAATCTTGTCTCGCTTAGCTTTTGGATACAAGGCTTTTTTGAGCTACAAACTACTGGACCTTTGGGAAAGGAAGGATGACTGTCAAAGACAGAAGGGCTATTGTGCAAAGGTATTTTCAGAACTCCTGAAATTTTTCACCAGTACGTGATTACAGTTGAAGATCTGTAAAAAAAGTCAGAGGTGTCCTCTATTCTCTGTGCACGTGATTCATCCAGTTTAAGTCAACTGTATTTTTAAACTTCTAATGCAAACACCCTGGAATGTAAAAATCCAGCTCTCTATCTTATATCACCATTAAGAGACTTTATACTACTGCATCACCTGACATGCGCTGATGTGCAAGATGAAATAAAATTCATCTCACTCTCCTGTAACCATATCTGTAGCGATAACAGGAGTAAAAATTGGCTTCTCATTTAAGCAAGCAGATACAACTGAGGTGAGACCAAATGCAGTCCTGTTAACATCATATGAAACAGCCGTAAGAAGGCATCTCCTTGCCTTCTCAGCCAGTTAGGTAGCTTAATCTTATGAATTATTATTAAATAATCCCAATGGTGACTTAAATATTTCACACGAATGCATATCTCAGTGTGAGAGTCATCCTGCTCTTTGGAAGCTCTCTGTGGTGTCAGTACACAAAGATATTTTTTAAAGTTTTTTCAAAATGTGCCAAACCCATGCTCCTGCTCCAGTCCTGGAGAAGAGCTTTTGTAGCTCTTCATGGGGATGTGATCACTCATCCACATTTGTAGTAACAAAGATTCAACCACGGCTGCAAGACAAATCTGGGTCCTAATTCTGGAAACTTCTGATTTGCTTGCTTTAGTTACATCAACACCATCTTTACTTCTTATTCTAACTCGTTTAATATTCTTGTTTACAGGGAATGAGTCCTGGCTATTCACAGTGCTGAAGAATGAAGCAGAGTCCACATTCATAATTCTAGCAGTATGAATGGTGCTCTACATACACGAATGAGACTCAAGAGCCCCTTCCACAAAGCTAGAAATCTAGGTTAAAGACAACAGGAATGCAAGGAATAATAATGTTAAAATTAAGAGAGAAAAATGAAGGAATGGAATAAAAGCTAAGGAGAGGAATATTCTGAAATGTGTTGAGGGCTTCCACTAATATTCAAGTACGCAGGCTTGACAGATTAATTCTGCACCCAATTCAGGATGCCGTTACTATCCCATCACTGATGTTTCTTATGAAACAATAAACCATTTGTTTGAGACTAGCTTACTATAGTCAGCTGTACACAAATTCCTGGTAAAATAAGGATTCACCACTGCTGGAGAAGACTTTGTTTTCCCTAAATTTCTCTGCAAGTGACAAAGATATCTAACAGCTGAAACTCCACATATCAAGCCATTCTCAGATCCTTTATACTAAAATAGCTAAACTGGTATCACCAGTGTGCTTTATGATGTCCGAGTGCTATAGAAACATTTAGGAATTTCATCGTGATTAGAAACACTTTCGTTCATCTCCCTACGGAAACTGAACCAGAGATCCATTTGAAACGAGAAAATTCTAACAGGGGAGTTTGCACTCCCCATGTCCTGAGTAACAAGTGCCTTGAAAAGAAGCACGAGGCAAGCAAAGAGGCAAGCTATGCTATCTCAGCTCCACGGTACAGCGTGTTGGTCAGCGGCTACATCAACCACGGCGAAGAGCTGCAAAACCCCATGCCAACCACTACCAATTAACTCTGGTTAACCAAAGCTTGGTACAACTAAGGGGACAAACAGTCACTCCTCCGAGAGTGTTAACATGATACTAAGGATAAACATGTTTTTCATTGGGCCAGTATTAATTTAAAATCATTCTTTCGTAGAAATGAAGAGTTGTTAACACTGAACCATCTGAAGCCATAAAGCTTGAGTAAAATTTGGAAGAAACTCTCAACGTTTATATCTCAACTCCAGGTTAATGTACACGACTGGCACATATTTGCTTGCTTTCACGTCTATCACATTTTTTTTAGCTTAAATGGGGTCATTTCTGAAATAACTTCATCCTGTCCAAAGAACTGTGAGAAATGACATTAAATAGCTACAGCTCTGTAACAAACCATAAGATGCACCCAAGAAGGAGAAACTTCTCTCATTTGTACCAGTCTCACACTGCATTAATGACAGGCTTTTGGAAAAATTCATTTGCTGTGTACTATGCAAATGAGACACCACCAGCAGCATCTTCAAAGCAGGAAGTAAAAGCGTTTAAGTGAGCAAAATAAACTTTATAGTGAGATAAAATTATTATCCCACTCATTAGGTGGACCTAATGCGTTACCTCTGCTGGGACCTTTGGACTCTGAAACATGCAATGACAGAAATCATTGAGGGAAAAGGAGGAGAAAAACAGAAATCGTTAAGAACAGTAGTCTTTAATTTTTGCTTTAAAAACCTACAATATTGAAACATCCCACAGTTCTCTCCAAATAGAAGTTGCTATACGCACTTTATCACCTGCACATATTTTAGCATTCTCTGCATGGATCAGATGTAGCAGATTTAGCAGCCAATGCTAGAGCACTACATCAAAATTCTATTATTCCGTGCAACTGCATTATGCATTAAAATGCCTTGTCACCACTAGATTCTCCCTTTTAAAATGACTACACGCTCACTGGGCAGAATATCTATCAGGAGAAGACCTCTCAGTTTATCTAGGATTTGGAAAGTAAGTTTAAATTTAATCTTTCACTTTTTAAAGAAATACTTTTGATCCGTACTGTTATTTTTAAGAAGTGTAATGGGCTGAATTATCACCCACCGCAAGCTTAAGACTGCTGGTTTCCCTCTGAAGGTCAGAGACTATCTTCATAGGCCTCTATTCTCTCCTAGAGGTGGACCTGAACTTATATATGAATCCAAATTTTTCCCTTACCCAGAAGAGTTGCATCCACCCAGGTGAAAGCTTTGGAAGAGCTCTGAAGCTTGTCAATGAGAAAATTTCCCCTGACAAGCGTGTTCCTGTGTGATGGATGGCTACATTTAATCTTGTCTGCTCAACTCAGGTCTGCCATTGTACATCCCACAGCAGCTGGCAGCAGTGCTATATGACTGGGAACTTCCCAGAGAGGTCTTGTGCAGCACATCCAAAACTAGTACGTCCTAGGAACAATCTCAAGGATACAATGGAGCACATGCGTGTGCCCCATCTTTTACAGATGTTTCCCACTTACGTCCCTGTAACTGCTATAGTGTAGTCACTGTAGCTACCTTTTTTCTACAGAAGACTTCCCAGGAGACCTTCAGATACTTACCCGGTTACTGCTCAGGTTATAAAGGGGTGCTAAATCTTGACGGCTTCCAGAAAGCTGAAATAGTTAAGGCAAGTAGAATTAATTCTTAACAAAAACATAAACAACTGATAAGTATGCCTCTTGAGAAACATGAGGAAGGGTGAAAAGAAATCATTTTGCAGTTAAAGCAGAACTGAAATCCAAGAGATGAGAGGTGAAATCCCAATTATCGACCTGGAAGGAGCCAGAATTTGACAAGTTTGATTACCAGTTCTGCCAAAGCATTTCATTCCAGATTTTGGAGAACAGAAGTCTCATCTTTCTTACGCACTAAACAGGACTAGATAGTGTCCTTACAACACTGTTACAAAGTTCAAGTTCAGTAAACACTTGTAACTTGCTTTGAAATTTTCTAAAGCAAAATAAAAAAAGTAAAAAAACCTTTGACTTGATAGCTAGATGAAAAAACCTCCAGTGTTCAGAAGAAAAAGAATGCAGAAGTTCTTTTTACATCGCTTTTTCAGATAGTCTGGATTTATGGCGGTGCTTTCAAGCATATTAGCCTGTATGATGAAAGCATGAATATGTGCAGATTTTGCCTCCGCTTAGCAATTTACATGCTCATGAACAGCACAGACAAACAGAAGGGTCAAACAAAAGGAAATTTATTGCTATACTCCATGACTCTGGCATCATAGAGACTTGTAACTGAAAGACTGGACCTGCTGCCCTCAATATGCTGCAGATGCCAGTGTGGAATACTCACCCGATTCACATTGGGAGAGCTCAGGCTCCTGCGGTAGAATTTTCCTTTTCCCATTAGCTGTTCTTTAACAGCAACTTCCTGCCAATCATAGAGAAGCAAAACAAAGAAAATATACCTGTTTTGCAAGAATCTAAGCTCCAATCACCCCAGGATAGTTTGTTTATACAAGAAAAACTTTTCTAAACAGCCTTACCGCATGGGCTCCTGTCTGTAAAGTCTACTGTAATCTAAAACTTGCACATAACATGGCTGGAAGTGTAAGAGTGGATAAACTCTAACATCTAGTATTTTGCTGATTGGCACACGTAGGATTTTACAGCTAGTTCTGATTCTAGGAGATGACTGTTACAGATGCGAAGACTAAACCTCCCTTTCCTAACTGAGCTCCTATTTTAATCCTTTAAACTAATTAGATATGACAGGAAACTTGCTTTTAATACTTAAGAGTGCATCACACTTCGCCATTAATTTATAGTGGGCAGGCACATACTCTAGCTTGTTTTGCATAACGTTCTTTTGTGCTTGCATAATTTATATCCAGAAGAACAATTTTCAATAAATGTTTTTCACTCCTGTATTTTTCCTGGTAAACAGATCAAGTTACAGTACTTAAGATTAAGCCAATCAATGTCTTTCTTATTGACAGAACAGGTTGGGTTACTTCAAGGTAGAATATGGGAAAAATGACAAGAATTCTACCAGCAACTTCAGAAACTATTACTAAAGCCCAAGCTTCAGAAAGCAAAAGCTGATACCACACAACTACTTTTTCTGAACCATGATTAGCAATGCATAGTCTTAAAAACAAACCAAGGATCCCATAATAGCGCATTTAATAGAAAGCTCCCAGTCCCATCCATCCACATTGCAGGTAGCTGAGTGAGAACATCTCTGTGAAGAGAGCTACATTTGCTCCTTTGGATGGTTGCCACACGCACACTTTGTAAGGCTGAGGTATGTGCTGAAGCGGTGTTTTTGGTTTGGTAGCCATTGTATGCACTTCCGAGAACATCCGCGTTGCCATACACTGCTCTCAGTTAAGCATATTCTCTGCTGTCTGCTACAGCCTTAGAAACAGACCTGGCGCAGACGATCCAAGGTGAGAATGTTCTCCACAGCCAGCACGCTCCGCAAGTACTTCTCAATATAGGCTTCGGAGTCAGCTGAAGCTGCGTCTTCAAAGTTGGCTGCAAAAACCCGCTCTTCAGCTCCTTGAGCATCCTAGGAAGATGAAAAGAAATTACATCCTCTTAAAATAAAACAAAAATCTCCCACATCAGTCCTGAAGAGGAACGGTTTGTAAAACACGCAGGACAGATTCAACACTGTTTGCCCGTAAGCTCAGGGGCAGATTCAGACGTCTTGTGAGAGAGTTCTGAGTATACAGTCTCATTTCATCGAAGCAACTCGTGCCATGCCATCTGCATGGGTGCTCCTACCGCTGTGACAGACATCTCAAGCTACATGGTTATTGTTCTTTTGTTGGGTTTTTTTTGGTTTTGTTTTTGAGAGTCTACAGTGAGACATTGCCATTGATTAGCAAAAGGGTCGCATTCAGATATTTCATAATTAAAAAGCGCTCAAACACATTTGGGCGTTATCTACCCTGTGAGGAAAACAAAATTGCAAGCGAATTGCAAGAAAAAAACCCAAAAGGAACATTGCTTGAGAAACATTTCAACGCAGAATGCTAAATACAGCAGAACATAAAAGACAGAGTCAGGCAGCAATCAGAATTTTGGCTCTTCATGTGTTAATGTTTTTACAAGTGCTCTGAAAGAGCATCTGTTTGGAAGGAAAGGATTAGCATCTAACTAGAAACACGCTCAGGAATCAAGAATTGCATAAAGACATTATTTAGAAAATGCCAATTTGTTATTTTTTACATATTCTCATGCTCCCTACATTAGGCACTTCACCTACCCATCTTTACTCCCCTTTTTCTCTCTCTTTAAAATGCTTCTTCAAGGACCTGAGCAAACAGATGCTCACTCAACAAAATACATAGTGACACTGATACAACACAGGTTGCTGCTAAGTCACAGCACGTAAAGGAATATGCTTTTATAAGAACCATAGTTTATGCTTGCAGCAGCAAGAGCTAGCATGCTCAAAATAAGGGAAAAGTCAGAAAGTTAGAGACTCTTAGCCAGTTCCAGATACTCTGATTTCTTATTCACCTCTGGAATATTTGAGACTATCTCAAAAGTGACACCACAGCCAGGAATAGAACTTCGGTGAGACATCCTTCGGAGGAAACTCTGGGCAAAACCCTGTGGGAAGACAAAAAAAAATGAAAATTTTTCTTGCTTTAAGGAAAACATGGTTTAACATATTTCAACCAAAGTAAATATAGTTTACAAAGAAAGAAGTCTACACCCAAAAGACTAGCTACTAAATACGTAAGAGTCAAAGATCTTAACTTGGAGACATATCATTTGCTTGTCTGCATTTTAGATACAGAGAAAGGATAAACTTCCTTCATTGCAAGGTGACCGCTTAACCAGCACACACAAAGCATTTGCTAGTTCTAGAAGTGTCGTTCTTTTTTTTTTTTTTGGTAGAGCCCTAGGTGACTTGTCTTGAATATTGACAAGTTCAGGCATTAAATTCTTGACCAAAGAGATCGTTATGAAGAATGATTTAAGGGGGCATGGTCATTGTTTGTGCTGACTTGGCGCCTTGCAGGGTTAAGAACTGGACTGTTGAATTAATGCAGAGATGAGTCATTCAAAGATGCTGCTGAGACGAACACCCGGGAAAGGTTATTGGCGAGGATTTTTAGAAACCTAGCAGGAAAGCTAAAGATCCTGTGTTGAATGAAAATAAAAAACATCATTGACTAAATCTATAGAAAACAGAATTAATGAAGACTTAACACAATTGTAATTATTGGCACGCTCACTTTATCTATTGAATACGTTCTTCCATTCTTTATGACAAAAAAATTCACTGTTCCCTTTCTGAGAAAAAGCTTGTTTGATCGAAACGCCAAGTACTGTAGTTCTATCTGCAGCACTAAAAGCAGTTCAGAGTCGCCTACAGTGTTTCTGGGTGTGACCACACCTCTTCTGCTCTTGCTTCAGATTTTAACTACAGATGTGCAAACAGAATAATTCAGGCTTTCTGCTTTGTCATTGTCACTGCTAGGCGAACCTGGATTCTGAGACAGTGCTTAACAAACTCTTCCTCACCATCTTTCTCAAGAATTAAATCTTTTTCAGGACATGATGTTGCAAACGCTGCTTTCCATTTATCAAACATCCTGCTCTCACCTACACAGTATCATAAGAGCACAAGACACTGGAAAACATAAAAGACCAAGACTGATTAACTTTGACAAATTACACAAGGGGACCTCTGCTCCAACTATTGCTAGTTTATCTCTAAATACCTGGACGTATAAATAGAAATGGTTAGCAGTAATGTGTGAACATACTAGAGGAGCAGGGAAACACACAAGTTTCTTCTGATGCGTAATTTTTGCAAAACATGAACTCCAGGCTCATGAGAAGTTAACTCTTTCTACTTCTTCCAGTGACTGGGGATAAAGCACTTAGTAGTTAATACAAATAATGCTGAATCTGTCATACTCAGAGATGTCACTGAACCTTTAAAGAAAAAGTTGTATTATCATCCACAATATATAAGATACAATGAAAATTACTTGGCAGCTTAAAGTCTCGATGCATGCCATTAATACAGTGTTTCCATTCAGGGAGAGAGGAAGGTATCTACAAAAAAATAGAGAGTCATAGCAGCAGCGTATTGCACAAATCACAGCCTTCCCTTCCTCAACAGTGATAAACATGGGGCAGAGTGAAAGTGTGAAGGATTAGAAAAGACATACCTGTCTGCCATACACATTAACACAAATGCGCTTGCGTAACACTAACTGCATTTCTGCAGGATGGCTGAGCTGGACAGTGGCTCTCACAATAAGGTAAACTCTTTCATCTGCTGCTGTTCCTTTACTGAGCTGGATACAGTCGTGGACTGTGGAATCCCATGAGGCTTCTGCTTTCACCTGCAAAGGAAAAAAAATGTATCCTCTAATAAGCATAATTAGGTGTATAATTAACTGTAATTAATTAAGCATAATTAACAAAAATACATAATACATAAATTTTGAGAGTCAGCTTCTCCATTTCACTCCCTGTGAAGAAAAATCCCCGCACTTTAGAAGAGGCCATTTAAAAATCAAGATTAGTTTGTCAAATGAAGACCTTGGGATTAAAAATGCCAACTTGCTCAAACTCTGGAACATTTCCTCTTGAAAAAAAGATCTTTGAATACCCAGGATTGTTGCAAATAAATTATAAAATATGCAGAACTACAGGACCATTTGGCTTAATTTATTAAGATAAGCCAGAGAGCAACAGAAATTGTAGTGAAAATCTTCCATCTCACCACATAAACTCTCCTGCTTGTATTTGAGAAATAACTTTGCTGAAACATTTCTAGCCATACAAGAAAAGCTGGAATTTCTCTTCTTGAATGTGAAATTATAAGTATTACTGAAGATTTAAACGGTTTATCTTCAGGCAGTAAGAAAAACAGCCTGGTAGCCATTTTTCTAGGCTTTGAAAACAAAACAGAACAAAAAACATACCAAAACCATCAGGAATAAAGCTCCTCTAAAAATATGAAAAGAAACAAGTTTCAGAGTAAGGAGCAAAATTTTAAGGTAGAAAAATAAATCAGAGATTCTAAAGCTAATAGCAAAAATCATAAACCAACAATTGTACAGTTGTAAAGCTATGAGCTACGTGGCAAAATGAAGCATAATGAATGTAACAATGCAGAGGTAAACACGCTAACTGTAACAACAGTTAAGATTGTTTGGTTTTTCAGCTGAGGGCTTCCGTACTCTAATTTGCTCAGGGGTTTTGTTTTCTTAAGTATGAACGCAGAATCTCGAGCTTTTGTAATGCTTGGATTTAGATGAAGGAGGATCCTTGAGTTTTGTTATTTTTCAAATCACGGTTATACTCCTAGCAAATATTCCTTGAAAACACAAAGTCAGTCATATAAGAAATAAGTGTTGTATCCTTTGTACGCCGTCTTTGATGCGTTGTTTTCACATCTGAATATATAGAGAGCAACTAAAAGACTCCTAAATATATTGGTCTGCTTCTCTGTTTACCTCACTATCATGATGCTTCACAATCTGCAGTTCAAAGAATTCCTCCTCCTCTTCTGCAACAAGAGTAGCATCCCACCCACCCGCTTCTGGGTCATCAAGGTTATCTTGGGAACTGAAGTCATCAGCTGAAAACAAAAGTGAACGCAGAGGGTGAGGAGACACACAGCAATTATCCTTTTTAAAAACGTCCGGCAAGTCTTGAATTCGCATTTTCATCACCAACTCCACAGCTTGGCTACTTACACTCTACATATAAAAGAAAAGTTTCCTGCATTGTTCCACTTTAAAAAGAATCCCATTTCTATACAGAAAGTGTGCACAAAGATTTGGGGACACAGACTCAAGCATGCTTTACAAAGTCCTTTATTGTGTGGGATTTTCCCCCAATTGTAAACATCCCCTCCTCGCCCGCAGGTGTATTTTCAGCACTACTGCTCAATCACAGTAAATACGTTGCTCATTTGGCATGAGTTAGGTGTTGTGCTTTTTTTAAAATAAAGATAAGCTGCTGGTTGAACAAGTTAAAATGTAGTACTTTTAGATCATGATTAAACAAATCCTTAATCTGTTTTTTGAGAAGCAGCTCAACCTGTTCAGGCTCAAGTCCCTCACCATGAATAAATTATTAACCAGATCCTCTCTGAAGCCATTCGATATATCAATGTGCTTTTTGAGGTGAACAAACCATAAACGTAAACAGCATTGCAGCAAAGACCTCCTGACGACAGGTAGAATGCCACCTCCCCACTCTCACCTGATGCTTCTAATCCAAGGGTTAACCCTCTTTTAAACACCTTAACAAGGATTTGTGAAACTGACAAGGCACGGTTGGCTCCCAGGACTACTGTGGGGTTGCTGCTTTCCTGGCTACCATTTCCCATCTTATGTAGAAGTATCTGACAAACACATTGTTTGAACTGGATCTTGTATTTGGATGTACTGAAACACACAATGTTTACAGAAACACATATGATCACACTCTGTAAAACTAACTTGACCTTATCATATCACGGTTTTTTGATATGCAGATGGTATTACCAGTGACTTCACATTTTCTTCTAAGTCATCAGTAAAGAAATTATAGGATATAGCATCACTGCTATATTCTTGTGAGACCCCAGAAAGAACATTCCTAACAATTTTTTCTTTACGTTGGCTTTTACTGTTCCCTCCTTTAGGTGTACTCATTTTGCTATTTCTATTTTACTTATTAAATATCTGTGAAATATTGGGATTATTAAAACCTTTGGTTCCTTTCATGTATAATGCTGTATATTCTGAAACATTAAACAATAAGTTTCCGTGAAACACGTGCACTCTCAAATTAATCTACCTGCCATTCCAGGCATTTCTTCATGTTATCAGCTTGCTTAAATTCTATAGCGTTGTTGGTTGTACAAAGTTTGTTTCAAAGTACTCTGCCATTTTAAGAACCACTTACCATTCAAGTCAAGGAAAATAACAGGAATGTGAGTTTCCATACCAGGCACGGGAGTCCTAAAACGTAAGACAGAGACAGTGGCGACATTTAAACTAATGCAGATTTACCCAGCACACGTATCTTATGATATGAGCCCACAGTGTATTACGTTCAGTACAAGTGCAATTCTAAGCCAGGCCATCGGTAACCTTGGCAAACAGCTTTATTTTAATTTACTGTTGCAGATTTAGACAGGCTCAAATAAATTGGGATTCCTTTTATACCAGCTCTCTTACAATTATTATATTCTTTGACCTCTGCTTTCAGAATTGTTTTCTCCCTCTAAAATGCTAATAGCAAAATTAAGTTTATTTACTCTGACACACACATTTATTAAATGCAAACCTCTCTGCATTAGTGATGGCACTGAAGACAGCAAAGTTAAGAGTCAGAAAATCCAGTGTCAAAGTTTTTAAACCAACATGGATGCTACCACACTTCACAGTTATTAGCCTTTCTTGCAAAACACAGATAAATATTTAAGAGTCAAAGCTGTCATTTCAGGCACCTTTCATATCATGGAAGAAAGGGTAACATAGATGGTGTTTTGTTTGTTTTTAAAATGAAATATTCCGTGGCCTAGCACTTTTAAGCTATACAACATTAATAAGGTACTAAAAACGTAATATGAAGCACGAAAGACTTTAAGACTCCTCATTGCAATCATAGCTGTAAAAAAGGGCTGTAGCCATCCCATGACAAACTTGGACTTGATAAACTTTATGGCGAACAAGAGCAGGCTGGAGTCTTATGCAATATATAAGGTGCTTGAATCATACTGAACATTTCCTCTAGTGCAAATGCATTCAAAGCAGATTCTTCCTCAAGTAAGCTTCCTGCAGCTCCACTGTGTACAAACCTAGTCAAACACTGACGTGAAAGTCGACACATTTCCAACATGCATTTGCCATTTTTATGTTTCAGAAGTACTAGCTGTAACAAACTTCAGCTTAAAACTCCATGACACCCAATTTCATCAATAAATATTGTTAGAGGTTTGCTCAGAAAAAAAAATTTCTGAAAGTTGAAAGCAACTGAGGGCAAGAGGTTTTAAGTGAAACAACTTTGCTTCCTTACCTGCAGTTGTTACTCAGCAAACTCTGCTGAGTTACAGTACAGCAATCTCAGTCTAGCGTAGTTTACTATTTTTAATGTTTAGAAAATTACATGGAACACTTGCTGACTAAACAGACTTTGCACTCAAAATGGGAGCGCAACAAAATGCTCCTGCAGATGCAGTTTTATTATGACAGAGCAGCCTTTTAAGTGAATGAACTAGGTAATTAACATATTAGCTAATTTTTTTAAATAGTAAGTGCAGTGGTAATAAATATTGATTTCGTTTTTTCGGAAGGTCATAATTACACTCTGATCAATAACAGTATCGTTTACTAAATAGCATTTCTGGATTTCAGGTACATAGCCTAATAAAATAATTCAAGCAAGAGGCCTAATTTTAATGACTTTGCTCATACAGCGTACAGAGGCCAGAGTAAGGAAAGCAAAAAATGGCCACGTTCCAAGCCAGGAACAGGCCATGCATCATTTTTACATTTGTTCTTGCATATGGCAATGTATGTTCATACCACTCCGCTGGAGCTCCAGGGATCCCACTGCCAGCAGAAGGAACCATTACAGCATTCCTTTCTTCAGTGAGTGTTAGCCTCATCTCTAAAAGCTGTGCCTCTCGATCTGCATCATCTTCTGTTTTATCTGGAGAAGCAAGATGTCAGTCAGAACAACAGAGAGCATTTCTTACTCACTGCCTTTATCATGTGTCGATGATCTCACACCATTCATAACAGAATAAAACACACTCTGCTGAGAAATTCAGCACACAAAGAAGAAGCATACAAAATATAAAAACAACGAACAATTTTATATAGGCTTCTCTAACTTTACTTTCACTGAAAGCAAATTACTGATGAATTCAGAGATTTGACTCTCCATTAGCCTATTTTCTAAATTGTGCAATACATTAAGATAAAAAGCATGTGTGCATGTGTGTCTCAACCTATCGCTATTGTTACTGTCAATCGTATTTTGCTCACCAGGCTTCCCAACGAGTTTTTGCAATTGCTGATCAAGATATTCCTGACGCTTTGTTAAGGCGCACAGCCATTTCCGACGGAGTCTCTCCAAATCCCTATCCTGTAAAGAGGAAAGTAGTCATGTTAAATATTGACCCAGGAAAGCCAATGTTTCCTATTTGTGGCTTACACATTTCCTCAATTCTCCTGCTCATCCTGTACCCAAGAAGCAGAAAAAGACAGAGTAGACCTCCAAGAAATCACTTAGCTCTTCTCTATTATTTTCTTTTGCACAGGACAACGGAAACACAGAGCAGCAGAGGTCGGAAGTGACCTCTGAAGATTGTCTAGTGCAACCCTGCTCTGTGCCCAAAGCAAGGTCAACTACAGCAGCTTGCTCAGGGCTGCATCTAGCTGGCATTTTAATATCTTCAAGGACAGAAAGTCTACAACCTCTCTGGGCAACCTGTTCCACCACCAAGGCAAAAAAAAATGTTTCTTATGTTGAAGTGGAGAGTCATTGCTTCTTGTCCTTTCACTGGATACCACTGAGGAGAGTTTGGCTCTGTCTTCTTTACTCCTTCCCATTTACATACATTGACAAGATTCAGGCTGAGCCTTTTCTTCTCCTCGAGGCTAAACAGTCCCTGTTCTCTTAGCCTTTCTTCACAGGTCCAAACACTTAACTTCCCACATCTTATTTGAAGTATTTTTGCTTGCCAGCCTGAGGCATATCTTTTTCTCTAGCTGTTATGCTGTACTATCCAGCTCAAAAAGCTTCAGTTTATACATCATCTTTGCCACCAAACTAGTCTAAAACTCACTAACCACTACCTTACGGCAAAACTGGAAACCCCAGTCCGTATCTAGGACTCACCATTCACACTCAGGCCTTAGCAGCCTCATACTGGGAATCTATACCTGTCCCACATAATGCCACTGTTCGTAGTTACGGCATTTGCAACTGAGTTTTTTGAAATATTTTTTCTTAAGTGCTCATGTCCTTCAAAAAAAACACCTCGGTATCCTTAAAAACATTCAGTTCATTTGTCTCTGGTGTAGAAATGCTCAGAAATGATGAATGATCCTCTACATGCAGCATGTTGGGTGCCACAAAGATGAGCTATCAGCTTTGGGATGCCTTCAGGCAAGCCTCTTTTATGGCAGCAGCAGTTCAGATTCATTCCACATCAAACTATAACAAATGCTTTGTCAAGAAAAATGGGTGGATGCAAGACTATAAACTACAGTTGTATTACTCACCCACAGACCCCTACAAGTACGCCAGAATCTGTCAGGGAGCATTAAACCTAAATCTCTGGTTGCTCACATCATACAATGTTGAGATGTATAATGATGATGACATGGTTTTGTTAAACTTATTCACAAGAAGATGAAAAACATATCACAGATATTGTACCTCATCAATTCCCCTTTAAGGTTCATGTTACTGTGATATTATATACAAAAAAATAGTGTGCTGATTTCAGTAGTTTTATCACTGTTGTCTTAGGGCTCCAGGAACAGTATCCCCCCTTGCTTGCCCAAAGGTTGACTACTCTGTGGTATACTCCAGCTCTCATACACATAGTACATTCATCATATGAAACAGCATGAAGTCTTCTGACTGCATCTTTCAACACTTCAATGTCTATTCTTGTTCTTAAGGAGGACAATCTCGATCTAACCATAGTTTGTCAAGAAGAAAGACTCCTTCCCCCAAAACATCAAAACGCAATTGGAACTTGTTTGGGCAATACACATTAAGGCACCTTCTTCTTTCCCTTTCAACTCTCTAATCCACCTTATGGCTCTGTAGTATAATATTGTACGTAATGTTAAGTTTTTAGTTTCTTCTGAAGACAGGCTCTCTACATATCCAAAAATGCTGATCCTGCTCTAACATGTTTTAATGTGAACATGTCTGAGTTTGTAAAAAGAGATAATTCAAAATTTTTACCTGATAACTGTCCATTTCGTCCTCTTCTTCCTAGGCCAAAACATGCAAAACCATGCCATTAAATTCTTTTGATAGCATGAAACACATTGAAGGCAAAAGGTGTAACTATTTCAGGCAATATTAGCAGTCTTACCTAAAAGTCTGAGCTTAGCAATGGTATGATCATAGAATTAAAACAGTGACATCTCAAAGATTTGCTATCAGCTCATCTAAACACAAACTACAACAATCCAACAAATATAACTGAAAAAATTCACAGAAATATAGCTATTAGAAGTCCTCATAATTGGAAGCAAGTAGAATACTTAAATTGCCCTAAGAAAGAAATAGGAGTCACAGCAAAACAACTTGAAACCTGTTGATCCTGGACAGCAAAGAAAAATGTGCTGTTTTATGTGGAAGAGTTAAGTATGAATTTCAGCAAGCACTGAAAAAAAATCGAACTCTGGCATAAGGGATTCAAGGTAAGCTTGCTGTAGCATTTAGAGAAGAAAAATTGTAAACCTCTAAGCCAATGGTTAGAGAGTTGGAATAACTCTGCCACACCAGGAGCTGCAATGCAGACCTTTGACATTTTGATTTCCATTATTCTGTGATGGGAGAGACCACCTTTCATTCTCGACATTCATCACAAGCAGAGCCACTTGCAACAGGTGTAAGCACAACTGTCACTCCTACACAGTGAATGGGAAAGCAATGAGGACTCAAATCGTCACTGAGTTATTACTCATTTACTTAAGTCTTTACAAGCCGCTGGAGTCTACTTTTGTATCTTAATAAAAAAAAAAAAAAAAGCAAAAACTTAGCTAAGCTAAAATTAAAAAGTCATATAGAAAAGGCATTTTCTTCATTCAAGATCTCTGGAAAATCTTTCACATTTCATAGATACGGATTTACTTGAGATAGAGTAATGCTAATAAAGAGACTAAAAATCCAGGTGCTCAAGTCAGAAGGCTATTGTAAGCAAGAGGACTAAACAAACATGCTTTTCAATAGCCCTTTCCCATGTGGGTTAGCAGTGCCAGACACGACTCACTGGTCTCTCTTCGAAGCAGAGCTTAAGTCTTTCTTCTTGAAAGAACGTACTCTTTTGTGGATTGCCAGCTCTGTCGGATACGGTTGAAACTGGCCAACAGATCAGAAATTCACTGGGGAAGAAACAGGGTGAGACAGACAAGATGCTCACCTGGGACTTGTCCCCTTACAAAACAGGCTAAAAGGGGCATGTGTATGTTGCAGGTAATACCTTTCAAGTAAAATTTGCAAGAATCAATCATTCTGTCTCAGGAGAGAAGAGTCTCTTAAGAAACTTGCTCCATTCAGGAGCCGGAGAGAAATAGCAGTTTACTTGCCCTATAGGATGTGGGTATCGAGGACTGCTGTGATGGAAACACAGCTAGAAAGTCTGCAGGCAGAGTCACTACCAGAAGCATCATGGGGAATAAAAGCAATAATCTGCCTAGGATGCTGCTGAAAAGTGATATTTCTGCAAAGGTGGAAAAATTTCTCCTTTTTGTACCCCTGGCGCACAAGGGGTAAAGGACCGCTAAGGTTAAGAGACAACAAAAACCACAACTACTTCAGACCTCAAAGGGAAAACCAATACTGATTAAGCAAAAACGAGGAGCAGACATGCACTGAATCATACTCTGCCAACAGAGTGAACATCATGGAAAGCTGGGAGGTGTCCCAAAAACTACTTGACATTTTGTTGGCCTTGTCTCAAGCAGGGCAGCTAATGAAGCATGTCCGGAGACTCGCTTGTTCTGGTGCACCAGATTTTGGCTTGTTAACTCGGAGGAGTGACTAAATTTTAATTTAGCTGTTGGGGGAAGAAGTCAAACTGCACTAGAAACTGGTAGGAGCATTGTAAGAAGACAATCCCTGAAAACAGATCGATATACTCGCAGTTTAAGATGAGATGCAGTGCTTCTGAGGTTGTCAAACGACTGGCCAACATATACTATGGGCCAACAACTAGCTCATAAAATTGTAACGTTTGTAACTCAACACTCTTTGCATACATGTTCCATTGATTTATTTTAATTTTAATATCTACTTAAAATTGCTACCATACCTAGTATTTGGAGTAAAATCTACTGGACAAACTCCTAATGAATTTTAGAAACTCTGACATTTTCTTTTCTTCTTTGAATGCTATGTTAAAGCTGTGCTGCTTTTAAGGATAGGAAAAAAAAAGCCCAAAATCAGGAGAAACACAGAAGGTAGTCTTACAAATACTATTTTTGCCATGGAAAACGATTTTTGATTAAAAAGATCTTCCACATCACTTTCTGAAAGACAGAGGTTTAGATTTAATCTATCTTGAATAATCCCTAAAATCATCATCAAAGCAATTCTGACAATTCTTCTTGACACTGCTTTATACATTTAAGAAGTAGGTTCAAAAAATATTCCCCAAAACCCAACTTCAAACAAATGGAGTTGCCACCAACTGCAACAAACTTAAGACATCACTTTATGCTTTTACATGTCTTGGAAATAGCCATAGCTGACCAGAAATATTCAGACTCTTACCTGATAATTTTCAGGTACTTTTGGTGACTTGACATGTTTTATTTGAACACAGCCAATGCCAACAGATAATATTGATTCTTCCATCAGCGGCAAGGTCCCAGATTCCTGTACAGATCTCACTTCAACTTGAATTCGTCGAGATTGCCCCTGCCCAAAAAAACCAATTTGAACTGCTTGGAAAAAAGGATATAAAATGCTGAAACCGTAATGACAGAGAGACCTCTACTGGCAGTCATTTCCAAGCAACATTATATTTTTATTTTGTGAAGAACAAAGTGGTGAGTACTGCAATCTCCATGACCCAGTGCACAAGAGATACCTCTTCTGTTGCAAGGATTTATGTTTACAGGATTTAAGCATTTACAGGAAAAAAAAAAAGTTTAGCATTTATCAACTCCCCAGTTTACTTTTTCTGGACAGTGCTCAAAACATGCACTTATTTTATTTTTTATTTTTAATTTTTATTTTATTTTTAAAATACTTTAAAATACAGAAGTATTAAAAATAAATATTTTTAATACTTCTGAAGACAAAAAGTAGGATCCCTTCCCCATTTACAAAAAAGGAAATTTTTGTAGTAGTAGTCTAATTTGGTGAGCTGCTGGAATTTCAGTGAACTTTTCCTGAGTCTGGTCTCCTTGACTCCATATTCATTGAGGTCCTTTCCATTCTATGATCCTTTGATATTCCTACCTGCTGATGCTATCAGTGCAGCAAAGTAACTGTTCTTTAGTAAAACCCATAGGGAGAAAAAAAATAATAAAAAAAATAAATTCAAAGGAGTTGGGGAGTTCAGAGGTGCAGCCTGTATCTAACTTTTACTAATTCCTAGTGTTGTCTGGGCAATAGCTTATCACTTAAAGATGTTAAGTACTCAGTTAAGCATTAACAATCTAATGCATGTAGAATTCAAAGAACAAAGGAGTGGTTGGCTGGAAGGATCAAATAAAGAAGAATTCTGAACCTCTTTAAAAAATGATTAAGTTCAGTTGAGACTGATGTCCTTTCCACCAGGTGCTATCACAGAACACAGCAAAAAGATCGCAGGTAAGCCTTTGATCACCTTTACATCGGAGCTTATGCACACTGGCAGTTTCACAAAACACGGAGGGACTCCACTTTCTTCCACTTTATGTCTGTTTTACACAAGATTGTATTTTGTGTCTAAGCCTGAAGGTTCCTTGGACACCATCTCTTCACTATATCAAATAGAAGTTGCTTAGCTTTCCGCAGGCTCTTTTCACAGCTGAAATCCTGTACATGCCACCTTACCTGTCTGAGCTGGAAGATGCCTCCTGTGCATACATCCTTGGCAGGAGTCACCTCAACTGGGCAATATTCCCCATTCTCGTTCAGCTCCAGAATTTGAACCCAGAGTTCTACTTTTCGGGTTACTTCACTCCACCTGCAAAACACATCAAATACTGATTTGGCTTGGGTTTTTTCCCTCCCTCCCAAAGAAAAAGAAAGAAAAAACCGAAACCATTAGCTCGGACTGCAGAATGAAGTAGCAAAGAAACACTTCAATAGATGCGTCGTTTGTAAATATAAAGGGTACTAGTTGTGCAATGCTTATAAATTTTACGGACACCTATTTTGGTCAAATATCACAAATAAGCCTTTTCTTGATTCCAATACAAAAATCAATTCCACTATCCAAACATTTAAGCTCTGGTCTCAACTACTGCCACAGAAGCCCAATGCTGTCAGTGCAATCAGATTCATTCAGAAGACAACAGAATGAAATATGACATTGTCTCACAAGCTTTCAAGATTCAGGGCACTTTCCTAAACTTCATCATACCACTGCCTTCTCTCTAGCTCTTCCAAGAGCTTAAATAAGAAACGGTCACTTTTGTAGTACTTCAAAATTAAAAAAGGAGATACTTACTACTCAGCTACCAAAATAACTCACTATTTTATAGCATCCTTTTTCCATCTCCCCTTTGCCATATTTTCCTGGCTTTCCTTTTAAACTTCTCTGTATACAGCTTAATACTCGACATGCACAACACAAGCTCATGTTGGAAGTAGAAAGAGAAATAACTGCCAATAAATTAAGGTGCAGAGCTGCCGTCTAATTGGAGAGGTAAAAACAACTGACATTTAAGAAAACGCTATTAAGCTTACTTTGGGGACAACAAACGCCTGCCAGCAAAAAAGCAACCCCCTTCAGTCTAAATTACCATACTGTTGCATATTTACTCCAATTGAACTAATTAGCAATAAAATTCTTCCAATGGAAACATTACAGTGATGACATTTCTTGCTCGAGAATGGAGTCAGACTTTGAATAAATACATCAGTGTACAGTCAGAACAACCACCTCCCTGTTTTAGACTTGACAGCTCTTTCTGGTGCAGACTAGTGTAACAATATACAGGAAAATAATCAGCTTGCTCTTTTGTAAAAACACTAGTTATGCACTTGAGTTTGCCTACATAACAGGGACTTCAAAGTCCTTCAGGTTTTACCACTTTTAATTTGAAACACAGATGGGCATTTCTCCTCTTTCACTTTTTTTAAAACCTACTGACACATCACATGGTGCTTTTCTGATAGACAGAGTCTATTTATAACAGTCTTATAGATACAGTCTCAAACACACATTCAGTTGTCTTTAGTTCAAAATTTGACTACTTATCCCAAACCCGCTTCAAAACTGGGCACCTTAGATAGTGATTTTCCAAAATTCTAAACGAAGGATCTATTTTCCGTATTCACCTGTCACGAAGGCTGCGTGTTTTGGCTTGAATTATTCCCAGATCCCACAGGGCTGGATTTTTGCGGTCACCACTCTGCTTGTGCCCATACACTTCAATTGCCAAAGCACCATCATAAAGATGTTCCATGAAGTCTTCGGAAATATTTACAGAAACTTCCTGTAAGTAAGTGACAAATCAGTTGATGACTGTGACTACACAACGACTTAGGCTTAGAGATTTACTGTCTTGACTTTCATGTAAACATGTGGTAAATTCACCCTGGTCCCCAAGACGCAATATAGAGGAAAGGAAGAACTGTCACCTCAGTTTGTGAAATCAGGAGGCAAGGCAATGATACATCATTTGTGATCTGATCTAGGTGGTCCTGCTCAGGCAGGGGAATTGGACTAGGTGATCCTTTGAGGTCCCTTCCAATCCCTAACATTCTGTGATTCTGTGATGATTTGCTGAAGATTAAAGTCTATGAAGAGCAGAAAAATGACCGCATGCTGTTCCAAGTCCTGATCCAATGGTTAAAAAAAAAATATTAAAAAATCATATGTTCTAATGTTCAGAATCAGAAAATCCAAACTCATCAGAAGGTATTATATCTATTTTACAAATGGTAAGTGGAATAAATTGCTCAGTGTAATGACAAATGATAGAAAGAACAAGATGAGAACTCGGGTGATTGGCTGGCATTCATCTAAGATGACTTTAGATAGCTCTATTAAAGATGCCTCCACTCAGACAGTTGCTTGAAAGTCAATGGGAAGAAATAGTCTGTTCTAAGATACACGACCTAACTTCAACGTCCCCATTAGGATAACAGGCATCACGTCCCAGCACTAGGACACTTCTCTCCACTACATCAGAGTGTAGAGCAATTAGCTCAGATATGGACATCAACTGTACTCAGATGAGTATCACTTTTCCATTCACACTCAGCAGCATTTTTACTGTGGCTAAACTCCAACTTAAGTCTCTCTGCTGAACAGACTGATTTCCTTTATTAATCCATTTCTTCACCTTCTGTGACTTTTGTACAAGTGAACAGCATAGAACAATGAAAATTATCTGGACTCTGAAGATGTTTATGTTTTTATTAAAAATGGTGTTAGCTTCATAAAATACTATAATGCAAGTAAAGAGGTAACTAAAACTGTTATGCAAACATAAAACTCCTTTGCTTGCCTAAAGTTCCTCTAATAAAAGAGAAAAAAAATTTACATTGCAGTGATCGAAGACAACCATGCACCGTGGCTCCTTGCTGATGGAAGATAAGGAAGGATCTACTTCAGGTGCAACAATAACTGGCTCCAGCTGATCCCAGAACGTATATTTGCAGAACACAAAGTTGGAGAGGTGCTGTGGCAAACCTGTAGCCTGAAGTATTTTAATCTAGAAAAGAGATGAGAAACAAAGGAAAAGCATTTATTCATCAGGCACAGAACTAAAAATATCTTCTGTTATCTGTTTCACTGAAAAGGATAACCAAAAAAAGAAAGGAGCAAAACGAAACATTTCACAAAATACAAATTTCTGCATTGATGTACATCGGAGACAACGTTTTGAGTGCATCAGCTGAACATCACCACTAGATGTCACCTGGCACATGTTTCTTGGGAGTAAAAGCGGAAAGGGCTGAATTTTACAAACACAACAAAACATTTTGTTAATCTTTAATGGTGAGATGCACCAAAACCATTACAATTGAAGAGGAACAAAATAAAAATCTCATACTTCTACCAAAACCTTGTTTTAAGATACTACTTGTCCTTATTCTGTGATGCTAGAAACAATTAAAAAAATTTAAAAAAATCATCCCAACAATACAAAAGTACCCTGTCGTCTCTTTTTAAAAATCACAGCAAAATAGAAATAAAATCTTTTGAATACACCTTCTAATTTAAACAAAGCCATTATATTAACCATAATATTTCATAAACTTCTAGTCTCCATTTGTCAAATTAAGATTAGTTGGACTTCTACAGAAAGGCAGCATTCAAGATCCTCAGGAGAACATGTTTCCTGCAACAATGCCCCATATTGCTTGCAAGGGGACAGGATAAAGTGAAAAAAGAGTAGATTTGTCCCCAAATTGTTCATATTGTCCAGAAGCTAGCAAAGTTGGGGACCACTCCTTCCGGTGCTCTTTGCCTCCCTCTTTTCTATCTGTAGCTTGGCTTATCTTGCTGTTTACTACAACAGAGAACTGCTAGTAAATCCTTTCTGCTAATTTTCTTTTTATTAGTAACAATAATAAACACACCTGTATATGTTTCACGAAACATTGAACATTTAGAGAGAAAAATATTGAGAGAGAATTATGGGAGTTTTATCATCTGTGACTCCTTTTAAATTAGAGCTCTAGTAGCTCCAATCCTAGTGCACAGATCTTCCGTATCTTCCAAGACTACAATAAACTTTCTGGGTAAGACTGTATGCATATAAATATAGTTTTATGAATACGTTGCAGACTTAAAAAAAATCATGGATATTGAAAGGAACAAAACCCATCTAGTTCTCTTATATTATTCCAGCTGCTACAGAAACAAAATATCGTGAGAAAAGACCACACTTCATGGCAAACGCTACAAACGCTGGGCACCAGGACATTACATAAAGCCATGAAACAAATACAGCAAAAGTATTAAACTCTGTGCATATAACTGAATGATTAGGTACAGCTAAATGATTAGGTACAGCTAAATTATTTGCTCCTTTTTTTTTTTTTAAATCCTGAAACATCAATACAGTTTCATATAGTCAATAAGTTTAAAGACAGGAGTCTGCCTGTGTAGCTACATACTGGAAGTGAACATGGTGCCCGAGGTTACAAAGAGACATCTAACATCCAGATGCTAACACACCAGGGACTTCTTTAAGACTTGGGATGGAAAGAGAGAAGGTTGCTCAGAGGTTGGGATATGTCTGGAACTCACCCGGCAGACAAGTTTTCTCTCCTGCGTGTCATTTTCATTTGAATCGTCTGGACTATCCTCACCTCCAACCAACCTGTCGTCTATCTCTCCACTCACTCGAACAACCTCAACGTGGAGACGACCTGATACCTGATAAGAAAGAATTAAGAATTACTTGCGTACTAGAAAACAGTGACAGGTTCATCCCTTTTCAGGTAACTACCATTACTGCTGTTTCCAGTCTTCAAGCAGCCAACATTTTATTCCTTTCTATTGTTTCACACTGTGCATTTGTTGCACCAGATGAAGAATTTTTCGAAGCAAGAATCAAAGAGCCTTTGTTGTAAAAACACAAATGTATCAGCCACTAGAGTGACTCTGGGAACAGCATACTGCAATCTCACTCACTTTCACACTAGTCTCTAGAAAGTCTGCAAAGTGCACATAATGCAGAGCACAGAGAACATTGCCTCATGTGCTCTAGTTGCCTTTGAAGTTGTTCTTACAGTATGAATTTAAGAGTCTATTCTTGATGGCAGTCAGCGAAAGCCAGTGGAGCTATAGCTCATACTCGCTCTACTAAGTATTTATTTTGAGTTGCTTTGCTCAGAAAGGTGCTCACAAAGCCTTCTCCTTTCACAATCACTACGCTGGGATTCAGAGTTGTCTAAACAACTCTAGCAAGGTATTATGGGATTTGCATAATTCCAAATTCCAAGCAAAGAGCTTGTGCACATGAAACTGGAAAATATGTGCTATATGCTGCTAGTAAGATCCACGGGTTGTAAACAGTTGAGTAAGGATAGATTACAGAAGAATAACAAACCTCTCCCTTCTGATTGATGATTGGAACAGCATATTGTAGCTTCACGTCATAGAACAGGCACTCAAGAAAAACATTGGCTACTCCGATAAGGCTGTGGTTTTCCTGCTCGTCGTAGAATGGATCAGCTCGCCTGAAGTAAGCTCTCATCACCTTCAATCAAATTCATTATAACGTAAGAAAACCAAACTTTTCATGAAACAGTTTTCAAAGTGTTGCACAACCATCCTAGTGAAAAAAAAACAGACTCAAGAAAGAGGCCAGATTAGGAGACTTGACTTTTACTTTGGATCGAGCATAAGGCCTGTCCTCAGCAAGTTGTCCTTGTCGTCAGATTCAGGTAAGTCAGCCTGAACATCAACTGCCTTCTTGTTGTATGCTCGGTTCCGTCACCAAGCTATGCATGCAAATAAGCATCAAAGTGACAAGATAAGGGTTAATGAAATGCTGAAGATTGCTTCAGTACTAGGAAAAGCAAAAGCTCAGGGAGACTTAACTCTTTACATATTCCCTCCTCACTTCCTGAACCACAAGACTTTCTTACACCTGCTTAAACAAAAAAAAAAAATAGGGATATAATTCTATCAGCTCAGTATGGAGAAATTTTTACTTACTGGGTTGTCTTCCTCACAGTCTTTCCACTCCTGGTAAAGATCCCTCATATCTACCAATCGATTCTCCAGCTTTTCCAGTGACCAAATCTGTTTGCCTTTCCCTTTCCTTCTCACCTGAATAGCAGGCTCGCTGAGAATTGCACCTCTCTGCAAAAAAATTACAGATATATCAATAAGGAATTCATGTCACAACAATGAAAAAATAGTTTAAATCCAATACAAAACTGAGAACCTCTTTGGGAAAAGTCTGGATTTTGTTCTTTTTTTATTCCAGCTTAAGCAACCAAATTGAAGCGTGACAGACTCTGAGTTGGGCTGTCACGGTATATTCGTGTTCAGTTTAACTGTGAAGTCTAATCACAGCTACAGGCACTAGTTTCCATGGATTTTCACCTTACATAAATGTTAGAAATAGGAACATTTAAGCATTTCACAAATATCCTCAAGTTACAGCAGGCCTGGAGGTCCAGCTAAGGTTACTACTGTCTGCAACCTTCAACTAGTGCAGACACTTAAGCCTCTTTATCATCCTGTTTCTAGATGGGCCAGAAGATTGCAAGGAAAACAAGCAGACAAGAGAAACTGTACTAACAATGGCCCGAGTACCACTAAAACATTTGGCTGACCTCAAGAACAGAAATAACACCAGCTTAGGTAGTCAGCGTGAGACACGGAAGTCTGGGTTCACTTCCCTCCTTCCAAAATTTCTAAGATGCCTTGAACAAATCATCCAAATCGTCTCTGCTCCAGTTCCTCCCTGCACAATAGGGATGATAGTATTTTCTCAGCTCGCTAGGATGATGTAAAGACAAATGTCCGCAAGGAGATGGTAAATACCTGAAACAGATGTTACCTAACCGGCACGGATTTTAATCGCTCTGCAACAGAAGCAAGCGCGAACTTCAACACCAGTGGAAAGGTCTTGCCCCAAAACATTCATCAGTAAGCTCGCACATTATAAGATTTTATGGTAACAAAATAAGATAGGGATATAGCATGCGCCAACGCACACGAACAGACCGGCAAACCATCTAGTCCATTCAAGTCAGAATACAACAAACAGGAACGCTGAGGGGCACACTTTCTGAACCACGATTTCGTTCCATTAGGGCTACCTTACCTTACTGTTAGCATTAAGGCTCGAAGCTGGGATCTGGAGGGTAACTTTATACTCTGTCCTCTTGTCCAGTTCCTCTCCGATAAAATTGGCTTCTCTCACGTACAAATTGGCTTTAACGATCTGCTCGCGCAGCTTTCTCAGGCTGTGGGTCAACATTTCTTCTCTAAAAGAAGGGGATTCGGAGGGGGAGACAGGAAAAATCATGGCATTTTAGTATTGAAACTGAGTGCAAAACGAATGATCACTTGACAGGAAGGAGTCTTAACATTCAGCTTTTTAACACAAAAATCAGGTGAATTAAATTGCATTTATTCTAGGAGGGGTGATTATCTGTATGAATTTAGCAGTATGAACATTAGCATACTGCTGGCTTTGGAGATTTTTTCATGCATCTGCTGAACAGTCAGCTCTTGTGTGGCTTATTCCAGAGCTTCCCCACCACAGATGTGGATGTTCCATCCTACAGAGAAAGGCTTATTCAGACACCATGACCCACTTGCTCACCAGCCTTCCTGGCAAGTGTAAGTGGGCACCAACTGTGCAGCACAGGAATCTGGTACCACAAAACATTCCAGACACACAGCTAACACCATGTTAGATTGTCTCAAATATTTTCTGTTTCAAAAGTTGCTTCTCTAGCCATAGAAATTAGTTTTGTACTTTCTCATTACAATGTCTTTATCATACTCATTGTTTAAGGGTAAGTTTCATCTTCCTCCTGCAGCTGCTCTTTTTTACAATAATACTGGAAACAATCATTTAGAGGCTGAAGTAAACAACCTCAGTGCAATTGCCCAGGAAAAGGATGGTGGACACTCTGTTGTTATTAAATAGATTTTTGCAACGCTCTGGATCACAATTCTTTGTACCATCCTCTGACTCCCTTTTCTTTCTGCACTCTTCTGGTTGCCAGGACGTGCCCAGGTCAAACATAGATGTGAGCGAAGAGGAAAAACAACTTTCCAGTAGCTGAGTGATGTTCCACAGAAGAACAAATTCCTATAGGAGTCCCAAAATTTCTTCCAATCACTTCATCTTTAGTAAAATTTGTTGCCAATCAGGATAGAGTTTCCCTTAACATCAAAGTAGGCACTCATTCTTTCTCATCTTTTCTAGCATTATAGGTCTGATTGTTCTTATATTTTTGCCTTGCCTTCCCCAACCCTCCACAGGAGTCCTCTCAGAAATTTGGCAGAGGTGTACAATACAATTAAAACCTTGCAAAATTCACTAGCACTGAAAAACTTTAAATGAACACTCCTGATGGTCAGATTTGACTACCCACCTCTCCTCTGCCCACTGCCGCAAGCGCTGCTGAGCGCTGGGAGAATGAAAGGAGAACCTGTCCATGCTGCGGAAATGCTGCTTCTCTGGTGACAATCGCCTTCGCAGTTGCTCCAGTTCATGTTCGTACATCAGTCTCTGTCGTTCAAGCGCAGATCTCTTCTCCTCTTCGTGTTGCTGCTCTAAACTTTGCAAGATTGACTGCATTGGATCTAAGCAGATGTTGAAAACAAAGAAGGTAGTACTTTTGGGGGTCAAATACTTGGCAACCATAAAATTAAACAGAAGCAATCACATAATGAATATGGGGCAGAGACAGTGGACTTGGAAACATGAGATCTTTCCAATGTTCTGCTACAGATATGCTGTATGACCTCGGGCAAGGCACAAATTACTATGATTTGGTACTTCCCTTTGCCATTCTATATCTGCAGTAATCCACGTTAGGGACTGCAGCAACAGTCTGAAATCTATGGTGAATAATGTCCTAGAGAGTAAACATAGCTGGCATGTAAAAGGAGGAAGATATTATATTTTTGCTGTAACACATATTAAAAAAGTGCTGCTGAACTGTGGAGTAAAATAAACATCTACAGAGCAGACTGGATGGATGATTCAAGAAAGCTGAGAAAAGGGAAAAACCAAGCTGAAAAAAACCCTTTTGTTTCTCAAAATAATGTCACTCTGGGACAGCTACATAAGACCACAAAGATTAAGGAACATGGTTTCAGAGACAGAAATCACTACAGTTAATGCCTAAGTGAGACATAACACAAGAAAAATAAACAAAGTGAAAACACTTTGATTTGAGGCTGCAGTTCCACCAATATTCCAGTTTTGGCTTTTTCCTCATGAACAACTGCCAAACAAAACATTCTGTGGTGGTTTTTTTCCCCCTCAAGTGCTAAAATGGCTACGATGAGTCATTCACAAGAAAAATTCTCCAGTAGGACGTTATAAGGGGAAAAGTCTGTGGTTAAGAGTCCCTGAAGATGTAACGACATATTCTATACCTATTTCCAATAATTTCTGTTGCTTCTTACCATTACTACCAAGTGCCTTCATAGTGACTTCCATCTGGGCATATTCATAGCTGAAGTTAATCTCACTAGACACTTCACTGGAATTGTCTCCATCTATGTCCAGCTGCTCCACACTACTACTGCACTTCATAGAGCTGTCTCGTTCTTCATCCTCATGATCTGCCTTCTTCTTCTTTGGCAAATTCAGCCTTTAAATAAGAGGAAAATTTTTAAAGAACTATTAATTGCTCAAATTTGAAACAAAGGGCTGCTTTCAAAGATTACTGAAATTAAGTAGATTATCCAAATATGTAGATCTTTTTCTTTCAAATTTTTTCAGTCATCCCATATCCAAATATGTTGGATATCCATGAATGTAAATGATATCCATCATTTAAATTCACTGATCTTTAAGGTATTTCAGACCAAACACAGAGAGTTCCAAGAAGACAGTCTTTCACAGAAAATTTCTGCCAGTGATCCTATCTGATACAGGAAGGTCTCAGGTATGGCTGGAGCTGGAATTCCAGGCAACAGAGAACACAGTGGCCTTGTAAGGCCCAGATCACTGTATAACATAGGTGAAAAATCTAACACCTTATCTACAAAATCCAAAAGGCAACCTATAAAAGTCAAAGCTTGGGTTTCACTGTGGAAGAGAAAGTACCTAATGTGGTTCTGAATCACATTAAAGTTAACACCTCAAAAATTAAAGCTCTTCAGTGAGATCATAGTACTGGTAACTACAGCAAGGTCCTCATCAGCAAGGTTACAGGCCATTGGAAATACAAGAAGTTAAGTCAATTTATTGCTCTGAAGCTAAAATCACGCACAGTTGCTCTGACATCTTGCATCCAAGAACAGTTAAACATGAGCATTGCCTTTATAATCCCAATGAAAAAGAAACCACCTCCTTCAGTCTCAGTGCTCCACTGTCATCTTTCCTTACACCTTAAGACAAACTAAAGTTGGTGCAAACTTACAATTTCTTTAGTATTTTTTGTACCTGAAGAAGTGGTTGTTTCCCCACAGTATTCTGTCTCCATGATGTAGCTGGATAGGACACACGACAGCAGAACCGTTTACGAACGTCCTGTGAAAATGCAAAAATCTAAAGCAAATGCACCTATATAAAGCTTTTTTTTTTTCCCAGTACTACTTTCCTTATTGTAACTACCTAAGGTAGGAGAACAGGTTTATGATTGCAAACAGGCAAAATATCCCCAGAAACTTCATTCACCTACCCTGTGCTGCTTCACAAATTCATAAATTCCTCAGTCTCAGCTTATTTTGATTGCTTAAGCTTACCGAGTTCAGAACTTTTGGACAGATATTACGACAGCTATGTCTGGGGAGTATAATTAGAGCTTAAAAATAAGGGGCCTGAAAAAAGATCATGTCACTGGAAACAAACACTTTTCACACAACTTTGAAATATAGTCACGAAATAGAAACATTGAATGAGACATCAGAGAACTTTGCTACATAAACAGTTTAAAGACAATGAACTAATCAGAATCATCAGATGCTACTTTTATTTCAGAGTCGGATTAAGTCTGAAAATAAGATCACAGGATAACTCAAATTTGAACGGAATCTCAGGATGTTATCCAGTCCAATCTCCAGCTCAAAGTAGGATCAAATATGAATCAGGGTAAATGTGAAATTCTTGAATTTTGTGTCTCTAACAATAAATTATTGGAGATGCTGACGATGCATGTCATTTTGTGATCAATTTGAATATACCATCTGCTTCTCAAGTACTGCTACTTAATCAAATAAAGCAACAAGTGCTTCAGCAGCTCTTTGCATATCAACAGATTTCCTAGAAAATTAATTCACATTTTGATAGAGTTACATCTACACAGCTGCAAATCAGTCAGTATCTACTTGCTGAAAGCATACGCAATTTACTCATCCTCTCTATGAAAACTTAAATTAAAAACACCATCACTGAGAGAAACCTCTTTAGAACAAAAGATACAAGTTGACAGAGAGGTAAATGACAATTAAAACAAAATGTTAAAGTAGGATACAAGAAGTAGAATTTTCTTACTTCAGGCTACATGAAAAAGTTCATTTTTTAATTATCTTTTTGCACCACTAATCAAAAAATACTGGATAAAACTATAAATATTATACAACTAGAGCTGTATTTTATTCCTTTACCTAGTATTTTTTTGAGGTGTTAACATAACCTGTCCTTCTGGAGTGATGTCTATAATGCAGTGTTCAGGAAGAATTCCCATTCCACATAGTTGGATATCTTGAGAGTTGTCTGAGCCTATTAATGTGTGCTCCTGGGAAAAATTAATTAACATGTTAACAACAGATTACAGAAGTTCACTAGTTCCAACTCTTCCATTCTGCTTCTGGATATATCTTGTCATCTAGTTCCAAAAACTGAAAACTGTTTACTATTTCCCTTAGAGAGGAGAAGGAGAATGAAACATTGCAAGTAAATCCTCACTTTGTCTTACAGTAAGCAAGTCAGGAAAGTTTACAGGCAGCACTTAAATCCGAAGATGACGAAGTTTCCATAACTTAATTGTGGAATTCAGGGCCTCGGGATGTTGTAAAAGCCAAAGTCTAAAGGAGTTCAAAGAGGAATTAAGACAGGTTCACAGTGGTTAGACCCACGGCTATTACACAGGTTCCATATAGATCATCCAACGGCTTAGGAAATTCCTGAAGTACTTGAGGCATGAGAGATTTGGCAAAGGAAGAATCACTCCACACATGCCCCAGTTCACTTATTTCTTTTTTAGGTATCTCTGAGCAATTTTTGAGAAACAGATACAATAGTTTAGATAAGTCAGACCAAGCTGTTCTTCGGTGCTTATAAGAACTAATATGTATGCAGCTCAGCACTAAAGAGAATGTGGACAAGATATTTACTCTAGAGAAGCAAGAGAGTTTAACCTCAGAATTTTAGGCAAAACAGGTGTAAATCACTTTATCAAAAGAATTTCAAAGGACAAGGATTTCTAAACCAAAATTCTCAACGAACAAAATGAATTTGTGTCATTAAAAAAATAAAGACTAACTGAAACACACAAAACCTACCCCATGCAAAGGGGTTTTCTCTGGAAAAGGAAAGTAGCACAGCACCACCTGAGACTTTCCTGCTGGTACTGATGGGCCAAGGCCTGTTTTCTGAGCAGGCTTTGGCTTCAGCGTACTCTTGTCACGCGTTCTCGATCAACACCACAGAAGTCAGCTCTGCCTCAATAGCTGTCAGCATCGAGGCTGATTTAGCAGCCTGAGTCATACTCTGGACACCTATGTGCAAGGCACCTGGAAAGGATTCAATTCTCCCAAAACCTCAGCTCTTTTGTCCTTTTCAATGTTTTTTCGCAGATAAAACATTGAGAAAGTTATTTCCCTTGCTTTCATTGAGACATCACAGAGCAGCTATGACTGATATAAAAAAGGATCACGTATTTCCTAACGCCAACTAAACCAAAACCATCTTTCGGCCCCATTGCTAATTCTGTGGCCGTTTTGAGAGTTACTATAGACCACTTCAAAGAGAGGAGAAAGATTTAACATGAAGCTCAAACTGCCAATGTTCTTGCACCGCTAAAGTTTTAGAACTTGCACTCTAAAACGTGGCTTAAAAGTGGTCGTTATCTCATTTCTCCTCCTGACTCCAGATCACGTCTACAGTTTGTTAAACTGGAATAAACCACTCAGATGTTTCAGTGCAGAGTCCCAAAGTCACATTAACGCGTTTTATGTTTAACATCAGCAATGGGGACTGCACATCAGCAGAAGTGCTAAGGCAGAACAAAACTTGATTTTCACTCCTGACAAGTTGCATGAAGTGGAATAAAAACGCATTTTATAAACTGGAGTCAGTACTGCACATGTAGAAGCAAGCTCATTACTGAGATGCCCAGATAAAACACTCTGATGGGTAAAACTTTGTGAAAGCTGGCATAAAAAAAAAAACAGAAGACAGTTCATAAAAGAGAGCATCTCTAAATTTCTTTTAAAAACCAAAACAAAACCATTAAAAACCCAAACCTTCCCCTGATACAAAGAATTAAATTTGACATAAAAAGGTTGTACTTCTATTATTTTTAATGAGGCAATAAGGCAGTGAATGCCAGAGAATGCTTTAGATAGAGAACATTATAAAAACTGCCTAAGTACACCTCTGCCAATAGCCTTAGAAGCCCACTTCTAATAAAAACCAGTACATTTTTATATAT